AAAGAGGAAACTTTAAGCCAGCAAGACTAATAACCACTGACAGCCTCTTGAGATTGCTTGGAGTGATGCTGAGGATTGGCACTGTTGCTCTTATGGTTGTTCATCCTCACTAATAAATGAAAAGCATTCAAGTGAGTGCTCCAGCTTCTGAATTTTGCACTAGCTGCAGTCTATTCCAGCAACCAAGCCTCTCTTGGTACTATACCCTTGCTTGAAACCAGACTCGAACAACTCCAGATAATCTCTTTCTTTAGGAACATCTGAAGCTGCCAGGTCATCTCATGTTCAATCTTGTCCAAATGCAGGTTGTTAGTGGGAAAATTGTACTTCAGTGGTTCTGTATAAATAGACAAACAGTTCTCCTGAGCCCAGGGAGATCTGATTTTCTTGAGATCAATGTTTGTTGTTGCAGCCTGGATAAGGTTAGGTAAAGCATCTCACTTCACCAAAGATATAGAGAATCAGCAGGGTGAATCCATCACCCCACAGCGATGCTTCCCCCATCACACGTGGAAGTGTTGCCATCACAGCAAGGATCCGTGCTGACTTCATTGCAGCCAGCACAACATGGGCAGGCTCCCATGTTGGGAGGGAAGCATCGTACAATGTTTCCACCCCACTTCCTCCGCTGGAAGTCCAGCAACATAATGGGGTGGACAGCATGCCCATCTTTCGCTGGACTGGCAGGGAAGCAACCTAGTTTGATGAGGCCCTTTAATTCAGACTATCCCACTACATTACGTTTTGGTCTTTGCCTACCTTGCTCTTAAGATCTAGCAGTCATGGGTTGACAGAGCAGGTCTAAAGAGTAGTAAATACCTTTTGTGGGGAGAGGTGACTGTTACTTTAAAGGAGTCTGTAATGCACCTTCTCCTGAAGATGTAGTATGGGGCTCATCACCAAAATACCTCATTATATCTACAAATGCAAAATCTGGAAAAAATCTGAAATTCAAAACATTTCTGACCCCTATCATTTTGGAGGAGTGATACTCAACCTATATCAAGTTAGTAACACTATTATGAGGTATAATGATGTTTGTAACACTGAAGTTTCCCAAATGCCTGATTATAATACTCGTGTTCTTACGCTAATAACTTTGTCTCAGCTTCAAGCTGTATATTTAATGGCTTGTTTAGAAGCTAGAGGATAAACCTGTAGTGTTATTTCCCCTGTGCCTCCTTTAACTAGTTAGACCTTTGCAGATAATTGTAAATGTAATAGAATAACTGTTATCATCTTATTATTATTTCATGATGTTACTCTTGGGTTTATTGAGTATGATTCTAGCATGGATCTCTCAGTTCCAATGGGTATTTTCTAGGAGAAGGAGTAGTATACCCCTGAATGCAGGGATGTTTTCTTTTTAATACAATATAGTGCTTTTCTCTCCCCACTCCCTAGTACATTTATTGCAGTATGTGTGTGTGTGTGTGTGTGTGTGTGTGTGTGTGTGTGTATATTGCATGACTCCCTAGCTGATGCTATGTATGTATTTTTTCAAACCCTGCCTGTTAAGTGGAAACATCCATTTAGCATTACACTTAGTTTAGCCCTTAAGTTGTTTTGACAGTGCTTTAGGAAAAGTGTTTTCCAGTGGGCAAACCATCTACTGGTGATCCCAGAGCAATTTAAAAGTTATTTTTTCTGTTCTCAAATTATGCCAAGTGAATGAGACTATTGTAAATCCATATCAAGCCCACAAAATAGTTTATGTTGAGGTATAGGAAAGCCATCAAGACTCCTATTACAATGAAACTAGACATTGTTTCATTACCAACATCTCACTGATGAAAATATGGTTGGATGTGACCAAGCAACATCAGCTGGTGTTCAAGATAGCAATAGTTATTGATAGAGAACATACAAGCTAGAAGAGTCTGCCAAATCATGATATGTACATAATGCAGATGGCAACGTAGTATTCATAAGCCATGATCACCAGAAGGAAGCTTTTGGTGTTGCCCATGGCTGTGAAACAAATCCTCCTGTCAAGATTGTCTTCTTATTTAATAAAACACTTGCTATCATCTGGGGTATCACAGATATTGAGAAAGCTCCATTTTGGAAAGGAATGATAAGAAGTACGTGAAAGTATGGAAATTGGAATCTTTCTAGATAGTTATCACAATGAATAGATTCTCCCAAATGTTGACAGTCTAGACTAGAAGTAGGTTCATGAAGATAAGGGTTTGCAGCTTTCTGTTATCTGGGAAATCCAGGAACAGAAACTCACTGCACTGTAGTCATTGGTATTATCTTGGTTTTTCCTCACTGATAAAAGGAAAGCAAATGGTAACAAGCCCCAGCAGGGTTTTTGTACTTAATTTTGCTTTCAGATAGAAAGTTTCAAATACTTCTAGAGCAAATATCCTTGTCAGCCTCTCTGTTACATCATGGATATTTGCCCCTGGGAGAGAGCTAGTCATTAGGCCTGGGCAATGCATGGTTCTAAATGGTTCTAAAGTACTTACAAAACTAAAGTTCTGGTAGTGAAAATTTCAGAACTCTAACAAAACTTTCAAAATTTAATTAATATTTCATTATTAGCTATTTTTATGACAGAACCAATTAGGAACTGCCATTTATAATGAAATTTTGAGAGTTTTGTTAGAGTTCTGAAATTTTCACCACCAGAACTTCAGTTCTGTAAGTACTTTAGAACCATGCATTGCCTAGGCCTACTAGTCATCATGCAAAGCACTGATTCTGTTCCCCAAGTGGGGAATCCCCTACCACCACTACACATCTCTGTGGAGGATTGGTAGAGGTTTCCTGAGAGACAGGACCCCCATCAATCGCAGCTGCTGTCCATTAAGTAGGGACTATAAACTTATATGTTCCTTAGGTAGTCTAGAGGCTACAAAGAGGTCGTGAATATATAAGTCTCAAGTGTGTAGCTCTAGGGTACACATTCATAACTGACTTAGTGGATTCTGACTATTCATATGAGTGTTTCTCTTGGTGTGTGCAAACATTTATTTTGTTCCACTGCCATCTACGGTTGAACAGAGGATTTGATTTATTTTTAAGCATTTCAAAATCCCATCCACCAGATGAATCTGTGGGATGGGTACGTGCACATGATGACTAACAACAGTTCTCTCAGTCTCCAAAAACCTATAATGGAGATAGACATTTTTCATTAGGAGAACAGGAGGCTTTGGGGATAGCTTGCAATAAAGTAAGTTTCTGGGGAATATCTTTAATAAGTAAACACATCAAAAACAAACTCGCATGTATGTATTTTGAGATATAATATCATTGAAGGAGCTGGGGGTGGCAATGGCCGATAGGAAGTTCTGACGTGGGCTGATCCATGAGGTCAGGAAGAGTTGGAAATGACTGAACAAATAAACAACAACAATATGTGGATTGTTGTATGTTTTTGGGGCTATATGGCCATGTTCTAGAAGCAGTCTCTCCTGACGTTTCACCTGCATCTATGGCAAGCATCCTCAGAGGTTGTGACTTCACAACCTCTGAGGATGCTTGCGAAACATCAGGAGAGGAGGCTTCTAGAACATGGCCATATAGCCCAAAAAACCTACAACAACTCAGTGATTCCAGCCATGAAAGCCTTTGACAATACAAACAACAATATCCTTGGAAAGTTCACAAGAAAGAAAAACAATTGGTTTCATATTTTTTCCTGTTCCATCTTCATGTTAAAACTAATAAAATTAATTTTAAGAACTGCAAACCACTTAAAAAACACGATGGCTGGTATATATTACTTCAGTGTTATAGGGCTATTATTCCACTTTAATTATACCATAGCAACATGCTATGAAATCCTAGGATTTGCAGTTGAGAAAGGGGCAATTAGAATTCTTAACCAGATAATATTCGGATTCAGAAATTGTCACCATTTTTCCAACTTAACATTTATGGAACTAGTATATGTCCACAAATATATGTTCCTGATCCCAGGTTCACAAATGCACATTTCTGACGTCTTCTGAGGTGGTGCTGATTGAAGTTCTGGGACTCTCCAAGGCTCAGTTTCTAACTGAAAGCTGAGGTACCTCACTATTTAAAAGATCATCTTTATTGCTGGTAAAGGATGTAACAAACAGTCTACCATTGATTAAGCATTACAGCTGATGGGTTCTAGTATCCACTCACAGAAAGTGGCAGAATCAAGCTACTAAACTGTCTGGGGAGACAACATTACAGATATTTGTGGCTGTATGATGGGTTGCTTGAGATGTATGCACCTCTTTCCAGAGCCAAGGCAACTAGAGGTGCATCTACACTGTAGAATTAGTGCAATTTGATGCCAATTTAACAGTTACAGCTCAATTCTGTGGAATCCTGAGAATTGTACTTTGGTGAAGTACCAGCACCCTTTGGCAGACCTTGTAAAACCACAGCTCTCCTGAAGTTTAAGTGGTGCCAAATTGCATTAATTCTACAGGGTTGATACACCATTGAAGATGGGCCTATGGTTATATAGGGCAGAATTAAGCAAAAGAAATTGAACTACAAGTGTATGATGCATATCTCTATGACCTTATCATATGAGCCAGGCAAAGCATCCTATTTCACTGCCGACCAGAGGAGCAGCAGAGTGAATCCATTGGGCCGCTCCCTTGCAGTGACACTTCCCCCATCACACATGGAAAGCGTTGCCTGAGCAGTGAGGATCTGTGCTGGCTCCATTTGAGCCAGCACATCACAGGTAGGCTCCCATGTTGTGGACAGGGTAGAGCATAGGAGGAAAGCATTGTGTGATGCTTCCAATCCAGTTGTGGACAGGGTAGAGCATACTTGCCTTGCTTGCAAATGCTCTTCTGTAATTGCTCTAAACTTCCTTCCATGAGAATTAAACATAAAATTGAGAACCCAATTCTTTCTTTATAATGTATTGATCAATTTTCAAACATTGTTCCTGGTAATCACCTTTACCCTGTTTAGGCCAGTTGAATTCACACATACTGATCTCCTGGTAAACATAGAAGAAATGATTGGGTACAAGAAGTATAGTCACTCTGTCTTTAAGGAATCAGATTCCTAAGGGCTGATTTCACTTCTCTGTTCCTCAAGCTATAGATGATGGGGTTGAGTAGTGGTGTGCCCAGAGTGTACACCATTGATAGTATCTGGTCTTGCATTGGAGAGAAACTGGAGCTTGGCCGCAGGTACATGAAGCTGCAGCAACCATACTGCAGGGCCACCACAGTTAAATGAGAGGAGCAGGTTGAGATAGCTTTTTGGCGACTGTCCACTGAACGTATCTGCAAAATTGCCACAGCAATGAAAAGGTAAGAGATACAAATCAATACAAAGGGCACAACAATAGCCATCATTGCAGTAAGGAACACCCCAACCTCTTCCAGTTTGGTCTTCTTACTGGTGAGCTGGAGCACAGGTGGCACATCACAGAAGAAGTGTTCAATGTCATGTCCATCACAGAAAGGGAGGTGGAAAACCAGCCACACTAGTGTTAAAGAGATCATGAAACCACTCAGCACAGCGGTAGCTACTAGTTGAATGCACAATTGCTGTGTCATGATGAGTGTGTAGCGCAAGGGCTTGCAAATGGCCATGCAGCGGTCATATGCCATGATAGCCAACAGGAAACAATCACAACTACCCAACCCAATAAAAAGGAACATCTGAGCACAGCAGTTTCGGAAAGTGATGGACTTCACCTCCTGCAAGCTGGTCTCCAGGATCTGTGGGATTATAGATGATGTATAGCAGAGCTCAACTACAGAGAGACTCCCTAGGAAAAAATACATAGGTGTGTACAGGTGAGTGTCCACCCAGATAGCAACCAAAATGAGTAGGTTGCCTGCAAGTATGGTTATATAAACCAAGCAGATGGCAAGGAAAAGAGATATCTGATGCTCCGGTTGGTTGGGAAAAGCCACCAGCAGGAAGTCCAATATTGCAGTGCAGTTCTCCTTTGACATTTAACTATCAAGCTCTCCACCTTACAGAGAAATTAGAGAGAAGAACATAAATGTAAAATCAGAGCTTCATGTGCTTTATGTCTCACACAAATAGAAATCCTGGGGGGGAAAAGTCTAGAAAGAGATGCACTGTATCAGGAGTAAGCAACCATGGTGGATCTGGTGGCAATTTTCATCCCTAGAGCCTGCAGAGGATGCCACAAATAACACCCCTTGTACTTTTTAAAATTTTATTTTATTCATTTATATCCCACTTTTCTTCTTATAATCAAACTCAAGGCAGCTAACAACATGTAAATAATATGTTAAAAACAATGTAAAGAAGTGGTTCTCAATCTGTGGGTCTCCAGATGTTTTGGCTTTCAACTCCCAGAAATCCTAACTGCTGGTAAACTGGCTGGGATTTCTGGGAGTTGTAGGCCAAAACACCTCGGGACCCATAGGTTGAGAACCACTGATGTAAAGTCTTACATATGATCCTAAAACAATTAAACACTTTCTAAGTTAAAAGGTGAACATTAAAAAAATGAAAACATATTAAAATTGATTCCGTACAAACACTAAAAACATTTATTACCAGCACCATGCAGCATTAAAGGCCCTACTTGAACCAGTAGTGTAAAAGCCTGGAAGCAGAGCAAAGATGGGGCCATCCTGCTCTTTCTGGGGAAAGAGTTCCAAAGTCTGGGAGCAGCCACCAAGAAGGCCTCTGCCTTGCTCTCACCAATCAAGCCTGAGAAGCCTGAGAAGGAGGGGGGGGGGGAGAGAGAGAGAAAAGTCCTTCCTCAAATGATCTTAACGTCCTTCCACACAGCCCTATATCCCAGAATATCAAGGCAGAAAATCCTACAATATCTGCTTTGAGCTGGGTTATCTGAGTCCACACTCAGATAATGTGGGATTTTCTGCCTTGATATTCTGAGACAGGACTGTGTGAAAGGGCCCCTAGAGTTATACTGAGGGCTCTTCCACACAGCCATATAACCCAGAATATCAAGGCAGAAAACCCCCACTATCTGCTTTGAACTGGGTTATCTGAGTCCACACTGCTATATATTTCAGTTCAAAGCAGATAATGTGGGATTTTATTCAGTTGTGATGAAGGGGCCTGAGCTCATACAAGGAGATACGCTCCTTCAAATAATTTGGACGCAAGCCATATCGGACTTTGAATTTCCTCAAATTTTCTAGAGATTTTTTAAAATAGGGGCTTTAAAATTCCCCCACTCACTAGGCAATAACAGCTGTGACCAATAGCTGTCAATTGTTGATAGTCCAACAGCAATGAGGGGGAATTGCAACAAGAGTCCTGCTTTTGCTGGTCACATCAGAAATTGCTCCTGGGAGGGAATGGGAATGTCAGCTGCTTCCTGATTAATAGGGAACAGACCCCTGTTGTCTTGGTAGTAGCTGCCCAGTAAATGGGGATTGATGGTATCTGGACACCTTTGAATGTTCCCAGCAGGATTCCAATCCATGCCTTTATAATATAGATGTTTGCAGTTATTCAACAGGTCAAAGATTATGTGTGAGGCTATAATAATTGTGGGAAAAGGGATAAAAATTAAGCATATCAAAAAGTATTAACACAGCTACTTATTGTTAAAGTTAAATAAAAAGCAATGGATAAGAGGATATCTTTATATTACAGTAGAGCTATAATAATCATGGAAAGTTGAAGTGGGGGTTAGCTATTGCCTTCCTTTGAGATGGAGATACTGTGACTCACCCAAGATCAAACAATTGGTTTCCACAGCTGAGCAGATCTGAACTCTGATTTCCCCAAGTATTAGCCCAACACTCAAATTATTACACCATGCTCACTCCTCTGACTTCAGGCTTAAAATATATATATATTTTTAAATTACAAATTTACATACAACACACACATACAATCTAACTACTGAGCTAAAGTGAAAAATGCTGGCTTGGGGAACAGATATAGAATGAAAGAAAAAAAATCATCAGAACCAGAATCAGAACTCTGTATTATCTCATCCACAAATCCATTCAGGATTGTCCCCAAGAATCCTTCATTTCAACAACCTCATTTGAAAGGATGGAAATACCCCTTTCACTTGCTGCTGTCATTAAATAGTTGCTGATGTGACTCACTGGTGGATTCAGAGTCAATAGATCTAGTATCAGTGGATATAGGTGGACCACAATTTACCTTTTTTCCACTTGCGTATTTTTTAAGGTTTTCCTAGGCAAGGAATACTGAGAGATGGCTTTTCCAGTTCCTCCTTCTGAAATATAGCCTGCTGCACCTTGTATTCATTGAAGATCTCCCATCCAGGAACAAACAAAAGCAAAATCACATCTTGGTATTCCTTGCCTAAGAAAACAATGTGAAATGGGGATCACCATTAGTTAACAGGCAACACTACACACAAGCCCCTCAATGCAAGCAAAACCTAGTATTAGCAACTTTCATCATGAATTTTATGCAATATTTATTTCCAAAATTTGAATGTGAAAGCCCATGGAATAGAAACAATTTAGAGTTCCCCCCATATTCTCTATTATCTCAGCTTCTTAAAAGATTATTGATGTTTTTGCAATGGAAAAGTAGTAAAATGTAGAAGACCACTGAACTCACCACAGAAGGCCAAATTGGAGATTCCAATGTTGTATATGGCTTTCCGCTTTTTTACTTGAATTGCTGAGATGGAAACTTGTAGTACTGTGGATGACACCAGTGGAGGTGAATTGAACTCTTCTGAAAGCAGCTAGAGGGGAAAGTGAGGACTTACAGACCCAGGCAGCCCTAACTTTCACCATACACCCCTGCTTTAAAGCAGATACAACTAACCTGAACAGTGCTGTGGCTCTTTGGATGAGCAAGCAGAGCTTTCCCCAGAGTGGGTCTGCTTTATCAATGTGGCTTGTGACACATGGTATGCAGCCGTTATCCCCTTGGACTATCCCGAGCACTCTCTTCTCAGCCAGGGAATTGCTCTGTTTTTTTTTAATCACCACTTGTATTTTATTTACCTTAAAATAGTATGTACTCTATGTCTGCCTCAAGTCATTATTAATACTCTTTAATATCCAGCATGAGATCTTCATCCACTCTCTGGTGCAAGGACGGAAATGTTAAGAATGTATGAAGGCACAGTAGCCAGCCTCCCATTTCTCTTCCCACTTCAGGCTTTCAGTCTTGGGGCCCTTCCACACAACCATATAAACCAGAATATCAAGGCCGATAATTCACAATATTTGCTTTGAACTGGGTTGTCTGAGTCCACACTGCCATATAACCCAGTTCAAAGCAGATAATGTGGGATTTTAAACAGCTGCGTGGAAGGGGCCTCAGATAGATATATAAAATATAAAAAGATGCTCCATATTTCCCAAAAGTCTGGGTTGAGCATTTTACAGTAAATTGGGGCAGAACTTGACAACATCAATGCTAATATGTCAATTGTCAAGTGAAAAAAATGTTGCTATTAACATTTTTTACTGAAAATTATAACACTGATTTGTGAAATTAATCCTTGGGATGTTATCCCATGCAGCCTTCCCCATTTCTAGACACTTCTAAAACAGAAAGATAACCATGTATGACGGAGCCCATCCCATGACGCAGGGGGGCTTCCTGTCTGCGCCTATCATAGATTGTCAGGAAAGTGTCTCAAAAATCCAAGAAAACAGGGGGGAAAGAAGAAGGGCAACATTTGTCTTCTGACTTCAGGAATGGCTATGAAACTGGAGAAAAGGGGGGAAACCACATGGAATGGGATCAGTCAAATTCATTGTATTCTTGGCTCTTGATGTTGTGGTACGGCTAGCTTTTTAAGTTTCGGACTTTCACAATGGAGAGTACTGAGAATGGAAGGAAAGCCCAGCATCCCCAAAAGTGGTGTGTAGTCTAGTTTTTAAACATGAATTTTAAACATGTGTCCTTTGTTTAATCTTTTATGTATTTTAATACATATTTTGTAGAAATACATTTTAATGTGTTTCTTTTATAGAAATACATTTTAATCTGTGTATTTGTGGTATTTTTACAATGTTTATGTGTTTTAATTATTCTGCAACCCACCTTGAGCCACGAGGAGAGGCGGGTAAGAAATACAACTACTATTATTATTTTACATGTACAGTAGAGTCTCACTTATCCAACATAAACGGGCCGGCGGAACATTAGATAAGCAAAAATTACATTATGAATACATTATGATTTTACAAATTAAGCACGAAAACATCATGTTTTACAACAAATCAACAGAAAAAGCACTTCAATTTACGGTTATGTAGTAATTACTGTATTTACGAATTTAGCACCAAAACAGACAAGGGTTATTTCTGTCTCCCACCCTGGTGGATAATACAGAATATTGGATAATTCAAGGTTGGATAAGTGAGACTCTACTGTATATAACAACACAGCACACATGCACATTAGGTCCAAGTCTCCGGAATTCATCTCTGACTATCTGGCTCTTCCTAAGGGCTTAGGATGTTAGATATATTTTTGTAGAATGTATGCAGTTCTAAGAAGTGCAGCCTTCTGCAGCATTTGGATTGATGTTCTGTCAAAATTAAGGCTTTTCAAGTGGTACCACTGTTTTTCTTTTTTGCCATAGTCATTCAATTTCAATTTGTAAGTCCTTGTATTTTGTGATCTTTTCCAGCTCTTTGTCCTTTACTTGATTGTCTCCTAGTACTGCAATGTCTATAATAAAAAAAATGTTTCTTTTCCACAACTGTTATATCTGGTGTATTATGTGGCAGATGTCTATCTGTTTAAATTCTAAAATCCCACAGTATTTTTGTTCTTTGTTTTCTGTGGTCTTTTCCAGCTTGTGCTTATACCAGGTTTTACTACAGGGTAGGCCATACTTCTTGCAAAGGTTCCGGTGCACCATTGCTGTTAGCCTTGCTGATAAAAGTTCATTAGTACATAATTGAGCTTCAGATCCTGACTTTGACAAGTCAGTTCTATAGTTCTTTTTAAATCTAATTTAAACTTCTCAAATAAGGTAAGAATACCACTGAAATTAGTATGTCCCAATAACTGTTCTTTTATATTCATAGTATATTCTCTTTGGAAAATATCTAACATCTCCATCACGGTGCTCTTTAAAGGCTGAAGGAAGATTCAAAGTCAGAAAGGAAAACAAAGAAACAGGTTTTATTTATATAGAAAATCTATCAGCTTGGCAAAAAGAGAAAAGGCAAGGTTGTCTGTGGCCATGTGCAAAATATATGGCAAAGTCCACCATCATGTTTTTGTTTTACTTTGTCACCCCCAACATTAAATGTTGTTACCATAGGACCATTGAGATTAATATATTAAAAAAAAAACAAGCTTTTGACAAGGAAGACAGATTTGCCCATGGCACCTAACAATTAAATAAAACGTTAATTCTGCTGGCTGAAGGGCCATATATCTGGAAGAAGCCACTAACAGAACAGCCATATTGCACAGCCATAAAATACAGGATAGCAGAACTGCCACAGATACCATGAAGGAACTCTCAGCTGGTGGAGGTATTTTTCCATTGAGGAAATGCTTGGACTTCATTGCATGGAGCTTTGGAAGCCAGGGGTCAACAGGGGAAACGGTGGGGCAGCGCTCAGCTTTGTCCCTTTACCCTGATTGGTCATGGGCTGCCATCCCATGATGTTTCCCTGATGTCCCCAGCTTCCTCCTGTGCTGTCCCCGGCTTCTTCAATGAGGAGACAAGTAGTCACCCATCTCCTCAGGGCTCTCTCTTAGTGTGCTGCTGGCACACTGCTGGAATGGAGCCCAACAGAGCCCCGCTGGAAGTGGCTCTGCATCATATGATGGGCTCTGGCAGACATCATCCCTGCAGCACGCTAGAATGGGCAAAATCCCCCATATGATGAGGCGGAGAATGGCCAAAACAAAGTGAAAAGCAAGCATGGTATGAGCAACAAAGGCAAAGAGTGCACATACCATATTTACTATTGTGATGTAAGCTACATCACAAGTACAAGATTGCACTAGAAGTTAATTTGTCTATGAACTTCAAGTCACATGTGTTGCTATAGAGCAGTGGTTCTCAACCTGTGGGTCCCCAGATGTTTTGGTCTTCAACTCCCAGAAATCCTAACAGCTGGTAAACTTGCTGGGATTTCTGGGAGTTGTAGATCAAAACACTTGGGGACCCACAGGTTGAAAACCACTGCTATAGAGTTAGCCTTCTCTCAAAATAATACTCCAAGACGCACAGGAGCTGAAGATACCAAACATCTTTATGGCCAGTTCATGTCACCTTCCAGTTTCCTGTCCCGTTTGTCCCCATCTCCCCTTTTGTCCATATGCTATGTGCCCATACCAGGAATGTCATACTTGCATAACATATGTGATTATGATATCACAGTGTCTGATCACCTTTTCCCGCTGCAACTAGAAAAACTGCTGTACATGATGTACTGCTTTGCCAAACTATCACTCTATGCACATTTACCTGAACATAAGCCCTAGTGAATTTGATAGATTTATGACTTAGTAGACATGTATAGAGTTTGCTGTATCCATTTATACTATTATACATTTTCAGTGAATACATAGATATAAATAAAGATTGAAACTGAAATTTAGATCTAAATATATAGAGAAACCAGTTGTGCAGAAAAGCAAAATCATAAACTGGTGTTACCGGATTGACTAGAGAAATTATAGACATCAAATAAGCTACGGTTATTTACTCAACTGCAATAATGGACCAGATCCTCAACCAATGTGGGCTGTTTGAAAGGCACCACAAGAGGGTTATTACCTAACACTTAATGAGCTGGATGCATTGAAGCAGATTGGTATATTAGTGGAAATTGTGGTTACAACAATATTTTATTTGCATTTCTTGCAGTTTAATCCAATGTATCTTTAATTAGGAGTAAACCCCATTAAATTCAATAGGATTTTATTCCACTTTCTAGAGAAAGTGGGGGAGGGGGAGGCTTGAGAAAGTATTGAGTTGCTCAAATTGCCCAGTTAAGCAAAAAGTTTGTTAAAACAAGGATTACAGTAGGTTTTGCCATTCTGCTCCTGGAAGATGCCATTGTGCAACTGGGTAAGGCAGAAAGCACAGACAAAGTGCTCTGGGTGGAACTTATACCCCATGGCACTAACACAACGGCCAACAATGGGCTTCCCACAACCGTGGCACACAGTTCCCTGGTGATGGTGGAAGTGAAGCTCACAGTATGGACGACCATTTAATTCAAAGAAGGAGCCATTCTCAAAACTGCAGAAACAGTCCTGAAAAGAGAGGAAGCTTTATTAGAAGTGCAACAAGAATGCCTCAGAGAAAGCAACAGTAATTGAGTCAGGATAGATGTCAAAAAGGGCAAAACACTTTGGATCTTTTTGGTTTATCTGCACTGAATTGCATTACATGAGTCTACACTGAGCATATAATGCAGTTTCAAACTGCATTATGTGTCAGTGTAGATGGGGCCACTATCACAGAGGTTCCTTGGCAAAATGTACTCAAAGTATAGCTAAACTTTGAGGCAAATATCAAACCAAATCAAATCATTTATTTTGGTCATAGACCAGCACAGATGAGGCAAATATAAATTTTCTGCAAAACAATTTAGGATAGTTTCTAATGACCACATCACATGGAGAATTCCCCCGCTGTAGGACACTTCATCTCCATTTCAAGGACAAAGAGGCATGGAGCCCGTCAGATGACGTGTGCCTACTTCTGGCTGTCATTCATTGTCCTTCATCCTTGAAATGGAGAGAAGCATGCTGAAAGGAGGGAGCTCAAAACGTGAGTGAGTAATTGTGTTCTGATTCCCAAGCATGCGGCAGAACCATCGCTAATGCCAAAAAACCACATGTGATGGGATCTGACAGATTCATCCATGTTGAATCATTTCAATGACGTGGAGGAATGGGAGTTCCTCACCACTTTGCTGTCACTGCATTTTCTCCTTAATAGTAATTTAGGCTCAAAGTTATGCTTTTCTTAGCTTTTTAACATAACATTGATGTAATGGAGGGAAGGAAAGCCTAGCAGAAGAGGATCGTGGCAAAGTAATTTATAATTTCATTGGTCTAATGAAGGGGAGCACAGGCTTGCAAAAGAGGATCATTGCAAATGAGCTATAATTACACTGGTTCCTCCCTCCCTGTCTTCCTCCCTCATTTCCTTCCTTCCTTACCCCCTTTCTTTCTTTTCTATCTCCTTCCTTCCCTCCCTGCCCACTCCGTCCCTTCTGTCCATCCATAGCAGGGGTTCTCTAATTTAAGGAAAAATGGAATATGGAGAGGAAGGATGGTTCTAATATGGGCAACAATGGGGAAAAAACTAAAGAGGGAAACACATGTGATGGGAAGACAGAACTTGAAATAGGATGATTTGGGATCGAAAAGTACAATTCCCTTTGCTAGTCCACGCTTCTCAAAGTCCATGTGATGAGGTCCTAACTGCAACAAGCTCTAATTCTATCAAGAACAAGCTTACTTACTCCACACACAAAACACTCTGGGTGCCAGACAGCATTCAGAGCTGACAAATACTGGTCCATGACAGGCCGATCACAACCTCTGCACTTGGGAGAGAAAAGGGTCAGGAAGTCTTTTTGGCAGTATGGTTTCCCATTCTTCTCATGGAAACCTGCAGAGGGAGGCACAGGGAGACAAACATGGACCTTTTTTTTTACAGCAGGGAACTGCTTATCCAGCATCAAAGATGGAAGAAGATGGAAGAAAAGGAACCTTCATTTTGCTATGAGCATTTTGCTGACCTTCCTGGGTTGATTTCGGAGAAGTAGCCATGCTAATCTCTTATAGTATAAAAAGGAGGGAGAAGCATGAACACCCACTTGATGCTAAGAAAGCAGGGGTGCCCGCTTTAAAATGCTAGTCTGATAAAGCCCTCAGGACTGCATCTGAAGATGTGGGTTTATATCCATGAAAGCTCATGCTACAACAAAAAGGAGTTTGTCTTAAAGGTGCTGACACATTTTTAAATCTCTCTCCCAAGTACATCCCAAAACACCGAAACAACATTCTTGAGTGTTTTTAGCATAGATCGCAGGATTTTTACTGGACATTTGGTCTTTTACTGTGGTTTTAGCTTTGAATGGGGTTTTAATCAGTTTTTATGGATTTTAACTCTGAATTTTTAGTACTATTAATATTTAATTCTGTTTTAATGTTTGTAGATTTGTAGATTTTAAATTGTATTGAAATGTTTCTTAATGTAAGCTGCTTTGGGTTTCTTTTGAGGAGAGAAAAGGCAGGGTATTAATACTACTACTACTACTACTACTACTAATAATAATAATAATAATGTATTTCCTTAGAAATGTGAAGTCCTTGTGGTCATGATCTTTACAGCTGATCTCTCTGACTTGGTTTCAAATATATCTTCCTTTACTAAAGTACAAAATAGCAAAATTAGCTCCTCATACCCTTCAAAACAAAATATAACATGAGCATAAAATATAACATGAGCATACCTTTTCTTTCTGATAGTTCATTATTAAAATATTGACTATAAAATTACCTTCAAACTACTTATCAAGAGTACATGAAACAAACATGAACTTCATGTTTAGACTTGGTCCCATCTCCAAGATATCTCATTATGTATATGCAAGTATTCCAAAATCTGAAAAACGGTAAAATCTTGTCTCAAGCATTTCAGATAAGGGTTACTCAATCTGTCGTTGTGGCCAATGGTAATGAAGATAGGAGGATTCTGGAAAGCACTGTCAGAAAAGAAACTTTAACAAGCTCTACAGCAGACAATCGTAGTGTTCATGTGGTTAGGCACTTGGCTACAAAAGTGCTTACTGCTTCAGATAATAATCTGGTTCAGCCACAGGCAGGTCACTACATGGGCAGGTCATTGCAGGGTCACAGTGTGCCTTGCTAAATTCTTGTGGCCATAGTTCCTCTTAAATGTTTACAGCCCAAAAGGAACGGATCTGTGATTGCACAAAGCAGTTATTGTACCAGAACTGGAGCCATCACACCCTGGATGAAGAAATGGCTTCTAGGGAAGCCACATTTCTGAGTTACTTTGAACAGTGTGAAGCAATAACAGTGGAAAGTTGTTCTTAGTGATGAAGACAGAGAAGAGTTGCCAGGAGCTGGCAGAGGAAACCGGTGCACTTATGAGACCTGGAGGAGAGGCAGACTTCACCCACAAAACTTTCTGTACTTCATAATTAATAGTTTGGGGAGATGAGTGCAATGCTAAGTGCTCCACAGTCCACTGGGTTCCAATTACTGGAGTAGGACCCTGGGGAGTACATTAGTGCTACTCTGTGATCAATGTCCCACAGTGAGTAGGACTGTATTTATGCTTTTCTCAGGGTCATTTGCAAATAATTAGTGTACATAACATACAGTCTAGTTAGCAAAGAAATTAAAACATTTCCATCCTCTCCAACTCCAACCTTCCCACAACATATTCTGCATGTCCTTATTCCTTAGGAGCCTTTGGTACAAAAGTTGGAGTCATGCAGCCCTCCAGATATTGCTCGAATGTAAACTGCATTGTCCCTCACTATTGGCTATGCTGACTAGAGCTCCAGGGAATTTCAGTCGAACAACATCTGAAGGGATATGAAAACTAAGTTAAACTTCACTGATTTCAATGGATCTAGCCTAGGGGTGGATAAAGCACCACACATGGGAGATGTCCATTCCTCAAGACTTCCCAAGTGCCCCACAAACGTGCTCATTTTCATCAAATATTTTCAAAAGCCATATCTTAATTTTGTCATTTAATTTAAGTTATAGCATGTTACCATGCCATTGTATATAATGAGACTTGAGCATCCACATCTTTTGATGCCCACGAGGAGTCCTAAAGCCAAACCCCAGCAGATACCAAGGGCCCACCATACTTTCTGGAGCTGAAAGGTATTTGTGCATGATTTCCCCCCATCTTACCTCCACAATTTTATCATACCAATTCTATGAAGTCAGTCAACTGGGATGTTTTGACCACGTGAGCTTTATGCAGAAAGTTGGATATGTGTGAATTTGATATAAAATGTATCCTGAGCAGATAAGGTATAACTGCGAGTCTGAGAAAAAGCTGTAATTCTGAGCAGCATCTGGATGATTTTACATTAATTATAATATTTATAATCATGTTGCATGTACACAAACAATATTATAGTTACTTATTTAGGTTTTTTTTTTAAGGAAATAGACTGGACTTACTTCAGAGAAACATACATGGCTGATAGTAGGATTTATGCTTGATTGCACCTGGTTATGTATTTTTCTCTGCAGAGTCAAAACTTTGTTGAATCCTCTGTTTTTCACATTGACACTGGGGGCTTGTGTTAAGTCAACGGCCACATATGAATGTGTTTGAGAGTTTATTTTTTAAAATAAAACAAATGAATGTATTCTAGGGGTAATAATATGTCACAGATATCCTTGGATCATTGTATTTCCTCAATATATTGTCACGTAAATGAAACACTCCCATCCCTCCTCCCAAATACCCATTTACTGTATTCTGTACTCCATATCCAACATTATTTGCTCTATATCCAGTAGAGTCAGTTGCGGATGAAACAGCTTCCACCATTAGATTGTCTTTGTACAATCTCATGTGAGCCTCCTATAGCCATTTGTTGAGTAGCAAAGAGAATGGCAGAGGAGAGATAAATGGAAGGAAATCCCATAGCTGGGCGCTAGCAGGATGTCAAGATAGGAAAGTATTAATACAATGTCAAGCAGCTCTGTGATGGCATGGGATGGCACTGGGCTCATGAAACAGGATTTGTTTAATTGTTTCCTTGATCTGCCTTATTTCAAAAGTTGCAGTCCTAAGCTTATTTATCCAAAAAACTGAAATTCTAAGAGTTGAACCTCAAAACATGTTTCCACACCCTAGAAAATTATATGACCATGTGCTGTATAAAATAGAACTGGAAGAGGAAGACGTACCTGCATTGCCAAACACTTTCCCACAGTGGGCACAAAAGAAATGCTCAGGATGCCAGGTCCGATCCATGGCTGTGAGGACTTTCTGCAACAAAAAGAGCATATTAGATGCTAGCAACTTCTAATTGTTAGTAGGATAAAGATAGAGAAGCAAGAAGAGCAGGGAGGAGAGAGAGGGAGGACGGACTCCTTACTTGTCCCCATTCTGAACCAGAAACGTTCCCATTGAGAAACAACAGCTGGATGGCAGGGCTGAGAGTACCTACCTCTTGGATGGGTGCAGAACAGTAAGCACAGCGAGGGGAGAAGAGCTGATGATAGTCTTCTTGGCAGTAGGCCTTGCCTTCTCGTTCATAGAAAGGACTGGAGCCCACTTCTTTTCCACAGTGGTCACAGAGGAAATGTTCCGGGTGCCATGTCTTTCCCAGTGCTGTAATTACCTAAAAACCAGAAATCCCAGCAATAACCCTGCAGAAGGTGTGGTTCAGAGGCTTGCTTTCTCATCCAGTAGAAAACCCACCACAGATAAATGCAGTCTCAAAGGAGCCATGTTTTTAGGAAGACTAGAAGCTACTTTGTACTAAGCTAGACATCTAACTTTACCATCTAGACTGTCTATCATTTCAGGCAGGATTCTTTCTTGCACCCAGCTCGTGATTCCTGATGGTGTCCCATCCAAATACTAACCATGCCCAACTCTTTTGGCTTCCAAAATCACATGAGATCACATTTGTTCTAAGTTGTATGGCAACACATATTATAACAAGAGCTCCTAGTTGCTCAGTAAGTAGCAGTGGCTCTCTGGGTTGAGAAGTCAGGACCATATGTGACAGACATAGCAAAGGTAAGCTACAAGAAAAAAGGTTTGCTAGCTGCCTCTCTGGTAGGACAGGGAGACAGCTATCTGGCTTCATGATCTACTCGTTCTCTCACCTTTCCAGCAATGGGCTTGTGACAAGAAGCACAGTGGCCTTTGGGTACAGTGGCAATACCAAGGTCCTGCAAATCATGTGTCAGGCCCTTCAGCATACTATCAAGATTATCTGTGGTTTTCTGCTCTGCTGAAGATGGCTGTCCAAAATCTTCTTCTGAAAGCTACAAAAAAGCAAAAGTGTCCCCCCCCCCCCCCAAGAATTGTCAGTATTCTATACTGAATGCACACATTCCTATAAATCTAATTCTTGGTCTTTCACATTAAGAATTCAGTCATTTATACTCAGAAGACAAAATGCAMCACACTAATAAATGAACCATGTCCTTTTCTAGCTGGAACAGGAAAGCTRTTGCACATCCCTCATCATCAAGCTTCTTGTGTTTAAATATAAACAATTTTTCTCCCTATTTAACACTTTATTTTACCTTTCCTTTGAAAGACCCATTTTCACTGTTTTTGGGAGCACTTATATTACACTATCCCCTAGCCTTCGCAGATTAGTTTATGTCTCTTTTATTTATTTTAAAAGAAATTATACCCATTTTCTCATAAAAGTTCAAATAGCTTATTTATGATAAAATAATAATAATAATAATATAAAATAAAATAAAAATAATAACATACTTCATAATTTAATCAAAAATGTCCAAAGGTGTAATTGATGTTATACAATGCAAAACAAATATTTTCCCCAAATCTCCTGCTTATCAGAGCCACCAGTTAGTTGTTTGGGGCCATTCCATTTGAAAACTGCTTCTCTTGTACTCAGAAAGTTAGTGGGATGGCATTATTATACATTCTTTTGCACCATCCTTGTATTACCTTTTGTTTTCTTGCAATAAACAATAACAATATGATTCTTTGATTCTAACATCATTCATACTGTCTTGTTTGCTCTATCTTTTCCTTCATTATTGGTATTTTTTTCAAAAAAGAAAGAAAGAAAAACCAGGAAGCCTAATTGTGTAGTTGTTCAGTTATGTAAGCCATCCACACTCCATAACTAGACTGGAAAGAAGGTCATCTACCACAACGCTTCCAAAAGCATTTTTTCTTATGTTTTTTTCTTGTAAACTCACATTGGTCTCATTTTTTTTTTGTATATGTACTCTGAATTTTTCCTGAACCATGTGTTTTCTCTAGACATTAATCCTTACAAAGTATTTACAAAATAGTCTCTATGTGTTGGCTACCTCTTTCTACCAAATCAATTATTATGAACACAAATCAATTATTCAAAATATAAAATATATAATATGAGTTCATTTTTTCCCTATGTATGAAGACTTTTGAGACACCCTGTATTGCACTACTCCCTCTTTTAAAAAATATTTTAAAGTAATGGTGAACAGAGAATAAATGTGCAATGGTTCTCTTGAGAATGCCTAAGAATCTGGGTGTCCCTTCAGCCCAACCCAGGAGGTAGTCTGGGGTTTCCTGACAGAATCCAAGGAGGCAGCCATGAAACCACACTTACATCATATGCACTATGCCCCCTTATTGCAATGAAGTAGAATGAGTCACGTACACCCCAAATGATTACTAAACCAAAGCAGGATATGGGGCCATTAACAGATTACGTCAAATGGGGGGGGGGGGATCACTTCTCCAAAACCTCTTTCATCTCACCCTCTAAATTTACCCTAAATTCTGCCCATACTACATTTGAAGCATGCAAGTTCTGTAGACACTGACAGGGCACTTCTGTCCCTAATTATGGAAAGTCATCCTACTGTGCCACTTTAGACTTTAGGATGGACTTTCCCAAACTATTGTCCTTCAGAGGTTTTGGAACAGATTCCTAATCACTGGTCATATTGCTTAGAGCAGATGTTCACTGCATTTGGTCAGCACCAGGTTAAGGAAGACTGGCAAAAGTATCCACACATCACCTTAGACTGAAGTGTCCCCAGGGAAGCCAAAAGGTCATCTAGCTGCTGAGCAGTTGAGGTGGACGAAGCTAAAGAGTACACCGGCTGTGGAGGGGGGACCTTGCTGTACAAGAGACAAAGATGCATTTATGAGTGAAGAAAAGGAAATTTTATTTTATAACATTTGTAATTTCTCATCTCCCACTGTGCAGGTCCCCAGAATCCCTGCAACCAATTTGGCAGGAGAGATTCTAAGAGTTGTAGTCTCTTAGAAAATACATTTTCTCAATCTGGTCAGGAATCTATTGATGACGTACGCATGTATAAGTTGCACAACATATGCAGACTGAATGTTTGGGACAATGTGAAATGTCACATCCAACAAGTGGCCATGGGAGTGGATTTCTGGGTATTGAACCATTGTATGTATCCATAGTAGTGTGTCGGTACTCACTGGTGTACTGTCCCTGTCCATTGCACATTCTACATTTAGTGACAGTGCTATGCATAATCATTTCTCACTAGGGCCGGTCTTTAGCACAGCTGGTTAATCAACAGCAGCAATAGACCTTTTGCCAGCAGAGTCAATGCTGGAAGGATATTTGGAGCTGTTGTCCAACAACATCTGGAGAACCATTTTTGCTTGCCTAAAATCAGGATAAGAGCATTATCTAGTAAAATGTTGTATTTATATAAGCTTCTTTTATGGGAAACAATAATTGGGTTCCTTTTAAAAATATTTTTACATCCTTGAAGAATCCAGAAATTACCATATATGCTGAATCACTCAGAGGTTCTTGGAAATGGATTGAATAATTTCCAGCTCAGTGAAATGACTGACTCAGTAAAATTAAAGTTATGAGTATGCAAATATGTTCCTTCTGTTTGAAATATTAATACTATTATGAAAAATCATGCCATGCTTAAATGAATCAATCTGCCCATACAAATGTTCAGGAGCTAAAAAATAGCTGATCTCACAGAATTCCAGGTATTTAAACCAATAGCTGTGGAACAAAGATGATCAAAGAAAAACATGAATTGAGAGTTTCACTAGAGGAAAACCCACAATGTTACTGGGAAGGGCTTTCCTCTAATGGCATGGGATGTATGATTGTGATCTCTGCGAATAACCGATATGCCCAATTGACCCAGATAAAATCAGGCCATCTGGATCAGACTACACTAGGTTAGCAGCTAAATTTAGAAGCATATCCACCACTAGATAATAATAATGATGAATAATGTGCAGGTATTATTTTTTGCCTTTTATTATAATAAAACGGTTTGTTTAATTGGAAGCAGCCATGAACTTGCCTTACATGATACTGAATTATCTGTAGGGGTAAAATGTGTCGAAGTATTTCTTAACATGACACATCTTGCTCTTATGTTTCATATTTCTGATCCAAGAGCTACTATACTTATAAAGCATAACTATTTTTAGATTATCAGTAGAATCAACTGCTTATGTAAGATAACAAGAGTGAAGCTTCTAAAACTCCCTATGACACAAAATGGAGTACAAAACCATATATAACTGGCTTTTTGATCTGGAAAAGGGAAATTAGCTGCAATCCAAGACACAACAAACTGTAATTGTGGGGAGAAGAACTACAAGTTGAGATCTGGTTACCCTTCATTAGCAGCATTTTTGGACCTCTTTCTGCATCACAAGCAAAACATTTTGGTTGTGTATCCATGAATGGCAAGTGGCTGGAACAGATGATTCTCGTAGTACCTTCCAACTCTATGAGTCAATAGTGCCACATTAACTGTCATGGCTACATTTTATGGAATTCTGGGATTTTTATTTTGGGGAATCACTAGAGCACCTTGGCAGAGAATTCTGAATAACCCATGAAACTGCATATTTAAGGATACAATTTAGCCATGGCAGCTAAAATACCATCAAAGTGCTACAATTATGCAGTGCAAAAAAAAAATCCCAAAGCCATACTGTTCTCTCTATTTAAAAAGTTATGTAGGAGTCTAACTTTTGAATGCATTTGAAGAAGGAATTATGATACCACTGGCTGGAGATAAGTCTGACTTTCAAACATATCTCCATGTGAATTAAGTGAATTTGGCTGCAATTATATAAACATTTATCTGGGATGCCCTGAATGGGACTTATTTTTGAATACTAGTCTGTATGACTATACTGATTGCACTGACATCTATAATAACTTTTGAGGTAATGATAAATACAGTTCAATTATTTTAAAATGTATTTGAGAACCACCATTTTTATCATTATTCATGGAGAAAACATGTAGCAGGAGGGGCCAGCATAACCTGAAAGCTGGCCTACCTGCTTGCTGCTGCATTTACCTGTAAATATTATCCACATCTTCCTCTCTACGTTGAATCCCACGTCCTGATAGTACCTGGAAATAATAGAGCAGATTTTCAAAGAGAACACTGCCTCCTCCAAAAGCTATCCAAACACTAATCATCTTACGCAGAGGGAATAAATGCTTGGTTCTTATTTCTGAAATTAAAAGAAATGAATATTTGTAGGCCTTCAAAGATCATCTGCAATTATTTAACTAGCTTTTTATTAATGCTTAGATTATAGGCCATTCACATACAAAATAAATACAATATAAAATAAGGCAGTCCCTGACTTACAAACATCTGACATACATGTTATAATGTGGAAAATGTGTCTCCACTGAAGCTTTATCCCCAATCCTTGTTCCCACAACAAACCACATTTTTCAAAATCCAATTATCACAGGGATAGAAAGTGAGGTGAAATCTTCTGAACAGGGGCACAGACAGCAAAACAAACACCACCATTTTGTGTTTCCTGAGTTTTAATGTAAATATTACAAACCAGATATTCGAGCCGATGTGCCAAGGACTGGAATGAATGTTCTCATAGGGACAACCTAATGCACATTGGAAAGCCCCCACTTTTCCATAACAGGCAACTTTTTCAGTTTACCTTTGGGGCTTCAGGAATCTGCTTCTTTTGTTGAGCAGCATTGGTCGCTCCTGGTACTGTTGCTGGTTTCTCTTTTTTGTCACGTTCCAGAAGAATGCAAACTTTTGCTGGTTCTGTATCACTCACATTCAGACTCAATGAAGTGTTCTCCAGTTCTGCCAACAAAGCATCTGGGGGGGAAAGTTGGATATTTTTCTTCTTTTTCTTGTGCTTTTGTTTCCTTTATGGCCTTTGATATTGCCCACCTTTGACAATGCTTTGTGAACTAGAAGGGTTTGCGCTCTCTCTCTCTCCATACACACACACATCACACACATGCACACACAATGACTTATGCATATATAAGATGCACATATATATATACATCACACACACACACACAATGACACATGTGTGTGTGTGTGTATGAATGCACTGCCTCTTTACAGTGTCCTTGTACTACTTTTTATAGCCTGTCAACATTACTTTTCAATTGGCAACTCCAATGTGTGCCCATTGGGGATGCAATTCAGAAAATAAATACAATTGTATAACGTGATTTTAAATAGTGTTTAAAAGTTTGATATGTTGGTTTTTAATTATTGTTTTAATATATCTGTTTATTTTACTACATATGTATGTTTACATGGCATCGAATCATTGCCTATATATTTAAGCCACCTTGAGTCCCCTGCGGGGTTGAGAAAGGCGGGATATAAATAGGTAAATATATAAATTGTCTCAAATCTACTTGCTGGGCCATAGAATCCACCTTTTTTCTCAATCTGCCCAGTATAATTTAGTAACACAGCTTTTGTTCAAAGGGTATCTCATTCTCCTTGCCAATCCTCTGGATAATAAAATTAGCACTATACAAGCCTTAAGTAGTACAGTTGTGTCATCAATGGGAGTAAGGGGGAACTGCTGTTAGTTATTAACTGTATTTAGAAATTCTCAGAGAAATGGTAAAAAGGGTCTCAAAATAACACTTAAATTAAAAGGATCCAAAAATCCTAACAGCTTCTAAGACAGTTTCTAACAGTCTCTCTCTCTGAAGGACACAGTCTTCAGCTAGCTGATAAGGCACTTGGAACAGCTCCTTTGTTTCCCAGGGTCTTATCACATTCATATATTCTGTTTCTTCGCTCTGAACTACAATTGACAATAGAAAGCTTGTTAAAACAGCAACAGAATGTAACTCTGTTTACTCATGAATATTTTTGCCTATTTCAAATAATGTGTGATTTTGAAAAGCAAAAATGTAAGCTTTGTATAGTGTGTGCATGTCAGAAAAAGTTTATATCAAGCTGGCACACTCAAGTTGGGTGTGGCAGTTAATTTTTCCCCAGCACCAATTGGAGACTGTCACCACTCTTGGCCAACAGTAAACTTTCTTAAAATTTATTTATTATTTAATGGCATAACAATCCTCTGCTGTCTGTCTGTTTTCTTCACCTGCATCCAAACGAATTTCCCTAACAGGAGGAGTCCTTTAAAAGCCACATCATCATTTCTTCTTCCTCAATTTGGTGTCTGTCACTGCTAGTTTTGTCATGTTTAACTGTCCCTTTTGCCTTTAAAAGATGTGATTATGTTATCATACAGCTTCCACACTCCCAAAAGAAAATGATAAAAATCAGTGATGTTTGAAGGTGTGTCAGAGAATCTGTTACTAAACAGTTTACATTAGTTCCTTATAAATGGTACATTATATTATTTGCTTTTGGAAAGGTATAGTTATGAACTCTGTAAGGCAGAACCTATACCTGCAGATTTGCACTTGGGGTCGGGGGTAGTTCTCTACGAATTTTCTAGGTCTTATAGACAATTCTATGGTATACTTCCCCTCTAAGTTGCAATAGAGTTGTGTTGGAGGAACTAGCAAATTCATAAAGAGGGTATCTCTATGTCCTCCAATGCAACTCTATGCTATGCTGGAACAAAAGTGAGGTAATGTAATGGCATTCTGTTGTTCAGGTTTCATGTAACTGTGTTCTGTCCAGGAATGTATTCCCTATGGTTACAGGGATCTTACTGTACTTGGTATCTTCCTTATCATATATTCCAGCTTATATGTTAGAATACATCAAGGTGAATATTTTACTTGCATATGGTTCATATAACATTGTTTTTATTGATATTAATTAGTTTCAATAGAAACAAATAAATTCTAAACAAAGTGGACAGCATTCAAGAAAAGGAAGCTAAAAAGAAGGACTATTCATATATACCATATATGCCACCAATTTGTAAAGGAGGCACCCAGTTTGTAAAAGTTTATAAAGGAGTCACCACTTTGTCAGGACTTATTAAATTGATAACACAACTGATAGCTTGTAATATTAATTTGGTCTTTCTTCAATGTGTAGCGTGGCTTAACTTAAAAGTATTTGTAACAGAGACTTGGCTTTAGAAGAAACTGTAACAATTTATTGAAGTATAGAAGAAGCTTGATGGTTTCAATGTTTCTTAACTCTTAGAGGCACATTTCTTCAGTGGTTACATTGATAACATTTCATAAAACAACTCTTGAAACTACTATTCCTTCCACTAAACAGGTTTCAAACTTATTTTCCTTCAAAATGTGTTTCTTTTTTTAACAGGTTACTTCAGGTACAAGCTTATTCTTTCCTTATGTTATTTCTGTTGCAGTAAAGATTCTTATTAGGGTTTCTCTCACCCTTTTTACTCATACACTAACCACTAATCTATATAAGTCAACTTGACCTATCTAAACCTCACAGGCTAAAAGCCTAAACCCTCCTGATTCTCAAAACAGTAGAATCAGCCTTTCCCTGTAGTTCTTAGACTACATACTACCTTTCTGGTTCTAAACACACAACAGATCCAGCCTTCCCTGTAGTTCACTGACTACAGACTAACTGTCTAAAAATGGCTGGCCTGCCAAGTAGCAGTTGGCTCTGCCTCTTTTTCCATGGCAACTCAGCTCAGAGTGAGCTAAGCTGGCTACCMCCCCCCCCCCCCAATTATGCTAGTTTAAATACTTATCCTTTTAAACACCTATCTATTATTATACATAACTCTAGATTAAAATTCACACTTCACCACATAAATCTAAACAGCTCAACGCTAAACTAAACTAAACATATGACACATTACTAAAGCATTAATGCATTACAATAGGCATAACCCACTAAGGAATACATAACAAGACCACAAAACACACAAAAAACCCTCTGCCCCCTCACAAGCTGTAATGAGATGGGGAAAAACAATTAGTAAAGAACATGTTAGTCTATCATTCCAGATTTAACTAAATTCCACTTGCTGACAAAATTAATATATTAACTAATTATAGAATTATGATAAGGAAGAGGTGCATGTTTAGTTGTATCCATAGTTGGGGCAGGGGGGGCTGGGGATAGGGTTTTTCTCCCTCTCTTTACTTGTGTTCAAGTCTATCCATATGTAGGACAGGTGGCTACATAGGGAACAGGATCCAGAAGCATGAAAGAGGAAACTGGGCAGAATCAGTCCACCATATTGCATTGTTGTGTATATAAGAACAACCCATTGGATTCTTTTCAATAAAGCTCTTGATCCCTGTAGTCTCTCATTGCTCTTTGATAGCAACAGCTGATCTGCAGGAGTCTAGGATGCATCTAGACTGTGGAATTGATTCAACTTTAACCGCCATGGCTCAACTGTATGAAATCATGGGAGTTGTAGTTTTACAAGGTCTTTAGCCACATCTTCCAAAGAGGTCTAGTGCCCCACAATATTACAAATCCCAGGATTCTATTGTATTGTGTCTTGGTAATTAAAGTGTTGTCAAACTGCATTAATTCTAAGAATACAGAAGTGAATGTGGGAATTCAATGATTTTATCCAGCGTAATCTAGAATTCTGAACCTCTTATCAATTCAACAGGATGCTTCCCCCCCCCCCCCCTGCTTTCCAGTTAGAATTTCTTATTTGTAAATAACCCATTTTTGGCACAACTGCTTTCTCTGAATAGTCTTCCTCCATCTCTGATATTACCTTCAATAATATTTGTAAATTATTTTTTAAGGAACTGATTATAACAAGTTACTTTAATTTTCACTTCTAAGGTAATAATTCTTATTTCTCTAATTATGAAAGTTTTTCTGTTCCAATTCAACTTTATTCTTCTTGAACGCAAGCGGCCCAAGTAAGATTGTTGCATTTCCTTTTTTTCTTTTTTATAAACTGTCTGTGAGACAAAAATTTAGCTTTTGTCACAAGGCTGTCAAAGGACTCAAAATCTCTGACAGAGGACATTGCTGCAATAGTTGCTTGATTTCTTCACCTCCGTAATTCTCCTCGTTCCCTCCCATGAAAGACAATTTAAGTAAAATGCAATATCCTTGACTATTCTGCATTGAGATTAAAAATCCCATTCCTTTAGTCTTTGCTCTTTGGCCGTTGAGGAGAAAGAGCTACTTACCTAAGTCGTCCATTTCTTATTTGCACAGGAGTTGTCTGACTAACCAGCTTGAGGGTCCCCTCAAAATGACATGCCTCCCAAGCCGTAGAACCAAGGCGGAAATGAACAAGATGGTGAATGCGTGGAGCAGTGGTTTCTACAGAATTCTTTAGTTCCTCTCTCTACCAGGACTTCCCCTCTTTCAAAGCTGAGCACTTTTCTCCCCCTCCTAATGAGTCACATTTTGAAAAGCTAAAAAATGCATTTAAATGGTTGAACAGGAAGTGGTAGCAATCTGATTGTTTCAGATATGTGCAAATCCAACGTGACAGTTGGGTTATCTTTCTTATCGATAAAGAACTTATCCTGCTGTATCAAGTAATGGCATTTTATGAACAGAGGTTAAAGCACTCTTTGATTTTCTTTCCTGCTGGGATGATGACTGACTGAGGAGGAGGTTGTTGCTTGATAGATGCTAAAAACTTAAATGTCAGTTTTATACACACATTCACAAAGCTTGGAAGTTACTGTTTTAGTTCTGCAGCCTGAATGCACTTTTCTCTAAAGTTTATAATATTTCTTTATATTTGTGATGGGAATTATCCATTCCTTGAAAGCTTCAGCAAGGTTGGCCCTATCATCACACAATTACAGAAGGTGGAAGGGGGAAGAAGTGGTATCCAGTGGCTGTAATGTTTATTTATAGTTGGCTTGGACTAGAAGCTGTCTTGCTCTTGGGGCTTTACCACACAATTTTATCAAATTACAATTACAGCAGGACAGCAGCAGAACTTATCAGGTAAATTGTCGTCTTCTGTTGTTCTCAGGGGTGAAGTGAAAAAGTTAAAAGGTGTTTATTTTATTTTATGCTCAAATGGCAAACTGGACATGTGCTGTGCTATGACTGGTTTTTTACTTTCTACTAAGCACAAAAAACAACAACACATGAAACAAGAATTTCAAAGTACTGGACTTTAGAGTGCCCTTCCTACTTGCCAATACTGTGCTATACTAGGGCAGACTGGGCCCATAACCCAATGTCAAGCCAATGTTAGTGCTTCAACAATTTTGTCTGAGTAGTAGAGTGTGGAAGCGTATGAGCACATATCTGATTTGGAGACTGGAACATTGTCAACAGAGTCAGGGAAGGAAACTTAAGGCCCCTTCCACACAGCTGAATAAAATCCCACATCTTCTGCTTTGAACTGGAATATATAGCAATGTGGACTCAGATAACCCAGTTCAAAGCAGATATTGTGGGAATTTCTGCCTTGATATTCTGGGTTACATGGATGTGTAAGGGCCCTAGGAAATAAGGAGGAATCTAATCACAACTCTACATGAAATTGGTAGAAAAATATTATGAAACAATATTATGAAGCGAGTTAGGCTTAGAGGAAGCATAAAAATAGTTAAACTAACAATCACAACATTCATTGTACAGGTGAAAATCCAGATTGTAAAGAACTCAAAAAGGATCTCTCCAAAGGCAAAAGAAATGTCAAGTGATTCAGATTCAACAGGTGCCCGAATGCTGTCTTTCCATCAGAATGAAGTAGAAAAGAGAACCAGAGACTTTTCCATTACATTGACTCTGAGGCCCCATCTACACTGCCATATAATGCTGTTTGAACTGGATTTTAATGGCCAGTATAGAATTGCATAGATTTCACTGCACTGAGCTAGATTATATGAGCCTACACTGCTATATAATCCAGTTCAATGCAGTTAACCTACATTATGAAACTGGATTATATGCCTCTGATGTCCTTGAACAAACTACAAATCCCATGATTCTATAGGATGTAGCCATGACAGTTCAAGTGGGATCATAGCATTATGTTTGTGTAGTCTGAATGGGACAACACAGTCATTATAATGCAGATTGAACTGGATTACATGGTAGTGTAGAGTTTTATAATCCAGTTCAATATGGTTTAACCTGCATTATATGGTTAGTTCAAATTGCATTGTATGGCAGTGTAGATGGGGTGTGAGATTAAGGGCCTTTTCAGACTACACAAACATAATGCTATGATCCCACTTGAACTGTCATGGCTACATCCTATAGAATCATGGGATTTGTAGTTTGTTCAAGGACATCAGAGGCATTCCCTGGTTGGGAATTGTAAATGCCCAACCTTCTACAAATCCTGGGATTCCATAGGATAAAGTCATGGCAGTGAAAGTGAAATCATAGCACTGTGTGATGTGGAAAGGCTCTAAATGTATTCAGTTCATTTCCCTGAACAGCTGAACTGTTTCTATTTCCGCTGATCATTATAAGAACTTTGTAAAGTGAAGAATTAACACTTAGATTTTTTTCAGTACTTTCCTCCTCCTTCTCCCCCTTTTCTTTTTGTCTTGTTTCTGATGGTAAGCTTGAGGACTAAGTCTTTTGATTGAGCTGTAAGCTGCTTTGGCAACCTTTCCAGCAAAAGATCAGAGTTTAGCTGAAGTGCAGCTTAAAATTATTTAAATAAATACACACATAGCTATTGACAGAAATCTCACTGCATGAATTCAGTGATGTGGTACAAAATTACCAAGGAAAGGAAAGGCTTTGGATGCAATCACACAAGGCTGGTACAGCATGACTGCAGCTGAATAATAATAATGCCTGCTGATGTTCTTTATCATACAACTATTACATTCTTCAAGGGATGGATAGTGTTCTTTCACAGGCCCATTTGGCAGCTTCTCATATGCTATGAAATTCCTGCTAAAGGGAGGATTAGTTTGTCCCTATGCTCTCTTTTTGCCAATAAGCAAAAACCATATTCAAACAGTCCTTTAACCTTTAACTATTTGAAGGAAAAGAGTGTGTATTGGGTGTGCTGCTTCTTAACATGCTGTTTGATTTTAACTGTTTCAAGCTAATGTTTTCATTGGATTGGTTATTTAATGGTTTTAAAACCTTGGCACCAAATTTTATTTTATTTTAAACATGGATTTCAGATTGAGAGAGAACTGGAATAGCAATAGAATACATAAACAAGAGAATAGGTGGCCACATGCCTTGGTTATGGGTTTCCTGAAAGAAACTGGCTAATGGCCATTTCTTGAGTCACTTTTAGTAGCCATGTTATTTGGTTGCAACCAAAATAAGACCTCTTGTTATTAATTTGTTCTTAACGGCTATCAAAGTTGGCTTCAACTTACGGTGACCAGATGAATGAATACGTCCTGTCATGAATGAATACATCCTGGCCATCTGTTGTGGTGCTTTGAATCTGATTTTCCTGCTTCTTGGCAGGGGGTTGAACTGGATGGCCCACGAGGTTCTCTTCCAACTCTATGATTCTATGATCTACAGCCCTGCAAATTCAGGACCATTGCTTCCTTGACTACGGATGTTATTCCACTCAACACACCCCTTCCATTTCTAAACAATTCTTAAACATTAAAGAGAAGTAAAACCGAGCCTATCACACAACACAGGGAGACTTTCCCCTATTATTCATGATGCTTCATTAGGGAACTGTTTTGAAAGTGTAAAGAAACGGGGGGGGGGGGGGGGACAGTTGACAGGGAGCTCAGGAATTGCTTGAAAACTGGAGAAATCAGTGAAAAACATGTGGGATGGGATCTGTCAAATTCACCTGACTTGAATCAATTTGGTTGCATAGGGGAATGGCGTTCTTAGGGTGGTGTTCTACAAAGCAATGATGCCCGAGTAATCTCCCAAAATCCAGCCATAGTTTTTTTTCTTAAATGTAGTCAGTAGAAATTGCAATGCTTCAGGAGATCGTTCACTTGAGTCTAACCTTTTGAAATTGAACTTTCTCCCGTCTTTTCTTTCCTTTTTTAAAAACTAGAGTTAGCAATCCATAAAAAAATTGAGAACAGAATAACTCATAGAGATAAATGGGGTCTGCCTTAACTGTACTCACTCATGTGATAAATCTGAAAAGCAATGAACACCACCATGTGATGGGTACTGATAAACAATACAATTTGCTTTTTAATGCAACGGGATTATCATCATAGGCTATCACTAACGGATGAGTATAATTGCCTCCCAAGTGAAGAGTCTTGGCGGTGGGTCCGCAAATGACTGTAGAGACCTATTCTAGATCCACATGATTTTTAGCCGTGAGAACATCAATTTCCAGATGGAAGACAGGCCCGACAAGGTTTGGCTTGATGTGCCCTCCTCTTGACATGTTTCTCCCTTTCACCCCCCATTTGTGCCTCTTCAAATTCCATAGCACTGCTGGTCACAGCTGACCTCCAGTTAGAATGCTCGAGGGCCAGGGCCTTCCAGGTCTTCCCTGTGTCTATGCCACAGTTTTTAAGGTTAGCTTTAAGTCCGTCTTTAAGCCTCTTTTCCTGTCCACCAACATTTCATTTTCTATTCTTGAGTTGAGAATAGTGTAACCATTTTGGGAGATGGTGATCGGGTATTCAGACAACGTGGCCAGCCTAGTGAAGTTGATGGTGGAGGATCATAGTTTCAATACTGGTGGTCTTTGCTTCTTCCAGAATGCTGGCGTTTGTCCACCTGTCTTCCAAAATATTTGCAGGATTTTTTGGAGGCAACGCTGATGGCATCGTTCCAAAAGTTGAGTGTGACATCTGTAGATGGTTCACCTTTCACAGGCATATAAGAGAGTTGGGAGTACAACAGCTTTATAAACAAGCATCTTCCCATTCCTAGGAACGTTCTGATCTTCAAACACTCTCTTCTTCATTTTAAAAAATGCTGCATTTGCAGAGCTCAGACGGTGCTGCATTTTGGTGTCAATGTTGACTTTTGTGGAGAGGTGACTGCCAAGGTAGCGGAAATGGTCAACGTTTTCTAATGTTACACAACTGAGCTGTACTTCTGGCATTGAAGAGTGATTGGCTGGTGACTGCTGGGAGAGCACTTTGGTTTTCTCGATGTTCAGTGAGCGGCCAAGCTTTATAATAAACTGAAGACCTCTATCATTGTAGCCTGTTAAAAAGGATATCAAACTAAGAAACATCAAGACTGGTTTGATGAAAATGATAATGAGATCCAACAGTTAATTGAAAAGGAAAGACTAAATGCCGTGGTAATATGACGCTTCCCCCCCCTCATGGAATGAGGTCCTTAATCTACCCACTTTTTCTATTGCCTCCCACTTGAACTAGCATTGCGGTCATCTCATGATATGTCCAAAGTACTACAGACCCCTAAGAGAACCTTAAAACCCTTTGGAATTACAATGGCATAAACTTCCATGGACTGATCAAGATTTTGAAATAGCTAGCTCTCCGAGGATCCATCTACACTGCCACATAATACAGTTTGAAACTGCATTATATGGCAATGTAGACTCATATAATGCAGTTTAGTGCAGTTAAACTGCATTATGGACCCATAGGACTGCTTTATGTACTGGTGGAAGGTTTGCCGTGATTCTCCTCATAACCTTTTGGTTTTTAATGAATAAAATAACTTGCCTTCTTTAATCTGGCCACTGGGTGTCAGTGTCACCTTTTAAATGGGGATCATCTCATAAATGTAACTACAATTCCTACTTGAACTGAGAAAATGACTTATATGTGAATTTTAGATGCAGACCCTTCAAATGTCTTTCTAAGTTGTTTCGCATGATGAATAATGTCATTTGTAAACACATGTACTACTCAAGTATAACCACTCATTAATATTTTAAAAACAAAATTTAATCTTATGGTACTTTGGAAATGACATTGTCAAAACAGGTAATACTTTCATTATTAATATTTCATCTCATTCACAACTGGCAGAGTTAGAGATTCTCTTTCATTCATGATTTGCAACTTTTTCTCCAGGCATCCCTAACAGCTGTGTTTAAAGCCTATCCAGGTGGTTTTAAAATGATTAATTGTCTTTGATATTAAAACATTTGTAACTCTTTTAACTGTGTGTTTTAATTGGCTTTCATTTGATTATTGTATTATGTGTCTATATGGCTTTGAGGGAGAGGAAGATAAGGAACCAATAATAATACAGACCGAATATCCTTTAACCTTGGGATCAGAAGTGTTCTCCATTTCAGTTTTTTTTTCCTTCAAATTTTGGAATATTCCCATATACACAATGACACATCTTGGAGATGGGACCCAAGTCGATACACAAAATTTCTTGAAGTTTTGTATACACTTTGGCCTGAATGTATTGCACTCGTGGGTGGTGACCTGAAAAACAATTTGGCTCATATAATAAATAATAAAACTTTAATAATATATATAATATAAATAAAAAATTATTTATACCCTGTCTCCATCTCCCGAAGGGGACGCGGGATGGCTAACATGAGGCCAAGCCCAATAGTTACAACAAAGCAAAATGAATACAACAATCATAAAATAATATACAATAAAATATATGAAAAAATAAGTAATACAAAATAAACACAGGGTACAACAAAATAAACAAAGTCATTAAGCCGAGTGGGCAGGGCCAAGTACTACGGATAGGACTTTAAAACTCTGGGCGAGATGGATAAGTAGGGTAAAGTATATGGTGGGAGGTTCGGATGGGACGACTAATGGGAATTAATTTCAACTGAAGGGTGAGATAATCCTTGGAAGCCACCTGGGAGTGGGTTGCTGAGTTTTCTGGGCTGTATGGCCATGTTCCTGAAGCATTCTCTCCTGACGTTTCACCCACATCTATGGCAGGCATCCTCAGAGGTTGTGACGTCAGTTGGACACTAGGCAAGTGAAATGTCCGGGGTGGGAGAAAGAACTCTTGTCTGCTTGAAGCAGGTGTGCATGTTCCAACTGGCCACCTTGATTAGCATTTAATGGCCTTGTAGCATCAAAGCCTGCCTGGGGTTGGGGGGGAATCCTTTGTTGGGAGGTGTTAGCTGGCCCTGTTTTTTTCCTGTCTGGAATTCCCGTTTTTTGAGTGCTGCTCTTTATTTACTGGGAGTTTTGCTCTGGTGCTGAGGGGGGTTGAAACTTTGAAGAGACAAATTTAACAAACCGTTCTAAAAAGGAAGCCGCCTCTAACGTTTTAGGAAGGTCCAGGAGGGCCTCACTTGAATTTCTCACGGTTTTGGCAATGCAGACCCAAAGTACGGAACCGGAAGTACATCGAAGTGAGGGCACTGAAAAGACCGAAAAAGCCTCACTGTGCCAGGATGCGTCGCGCATGCGCACTCCAAGGCCAGGACCGGAAGTGCGTGCCTTTTCCACAACTATTCCCCTCCCCCCCCTTCGGACGCCATTTTGTCGCCGACTTTCACCCGCCACTCGGCGGGGCTTTTTTTTCTTAAAGGAGAAGCTGCAATGTTTTTTTTTTAAACCTCCCCTGAGCTTCAAACTCCGGAAGCCGCGGACAGCGTGAAAAAGGAACGAAGAGGCTTGGGAAGGTACTGGCTCGTTATAGTTGTTGTTTCCATTTGAAACGAAGAGGCTCAGGTATTTCTGCCGGGGCCAAAAGACGAAGGGCAGCGTGTTTTTGTGTGTGTGGGAGAGGAGCGCTTTTTAAAAGGACATCCTTCCTGTATCGTTAGGCAGCCCCAAGCGCTGCGTGAGGGCAACCGAGCGCGGAGGCAGGGCCGGCCGGAGTCCGGGGGGCGCGCGCGAGGGGGGGGGGCGAGAGGGAAACCCAACCAACGGCCTGACGGGCTCGGTCTCCCCGCGGCGCGCGCCACGGCCAGGATTCCGACAGCGCGCGCTCCCCTCGTGCTCGCGCCTGAGAGGGCTCGCCCGTTGATTGGCCAAGTTCTCCGCGAGGTTCCAGCCCGGCTTCCGGCTCCGATTGGTGGGCTGGGGCGAAGGGCGGGGTGTGTGTCTTACATCTCCTCTCCCGATTGGAGGCCCTGACTTCGTGCCTGCTCCCTGAACCCGTTTTTGATTGGAGGGGGGCGCCCTTATCGCTCGTCCGGAGGCGCGGGCTCCGTTGCTGGCAGGAGTCGCCCTCCGCCAACTGCTCTGATGCCGGGGGCCTCCGAGCCGGCGGAGAGCCAAGACGGGGAGGCGCAGCAGCAGCAGCCGCCGCCGGAAGAGAGGCAGGAGGAGGAGGAGAAGCAGGCCGTGCCTCCCGCCGCCCACGGCCGCCGCCGACCCCCGCCCCCAGCCGAGCCGAGGGAGGAGCCCAGCGCCACCCGGGTGCTCCGAGGAGGCCGCGAGCGCGGACGGGCCGCCGCCGCCGCTGCAGCTGCCGCCGCCTCGCGCCGAAGGAAGGCCGAGTATCCCCGCCGGCGCCGCCACGACCCCGCCGCCCAGCAGAGCCACGAGCCTGAGGGAACCCCGGCCGGGACTGGAGCCCAACCGACGCCCAGCGACGCCCAACCGCCCGGCGCCTCCAGGAAAGGGACCCCGCGTGCCTCGTAAGTGCAGCCCTGTCCCCGCTGGGGAAGCCCCACCTGCTTCGTGGGGAATTAATGCCCTGGGACCCCAAGGGAACTGCTCCCTCCCGCTCCCTCTCTCCATGCTATGAGGTTCTGGAAGTTGGGAGTTTAGGGAGGCTCAAGACCTCCCCTGGTTCTCAACCTGTGGGTCCCCAGGTAAACTGGCTGGGATTTCTGGGAGTTGTTGGTCAAAACACCTGGGGGACCACAGGTTGATAACCACTGTCCTAATTTATTTATTTATTTATTCATTTACTTCACTTATATACCGCAATTCTCAGCCCATGGGCGACTCATTGCGGTGTACAACATAGAAAACAGGTGAAAACAGGTGCAAAATACAAACATAGTGTAAAATAATCCACAATTCATCATTATCAAAAAAACATCCCATCAAACATCAACATTACTACATAAGCCATTCCGAGTCGTCTCATCGTCAAACCCACAATCCGATATCATTTCCGTTGTTCCATTCCTATGGTCAAATTACCAGTCATTGCACTTCTTGTTCCAATGCCTTCTTAAACAGCCAGGTCTTTAACATCCTGCGGAATATCAACAGGGAGGGAGCTAGCCTGATGTCCACGGGAAGGGTGTTCCACAGCCAAGGAGCCACTCCTATGAGACATGGGCAAACTTTGGCCCTCCAGGTGTTTTGGACTTCACCTCCTTCAGTTCCCAAAAGGCTTAAGTGGCTGAGCGGGAAAAGGAAAGGGCCAGAAGCTGTTAGGAATTGTGGGGTCTGAAGTCCAAAGCACCCGGAGGGCCAAAGTTTGCCTGTGCTTGTACTATAGCATTGAGCCACAGTGGTGTCAAACTGACTTAATTCTACCCATACAGTTGCCTGTTCCAGCTAGGAGGTTCCAATATGAAGTTTGCAAGAGCTTTTTTTATTGTTCCTCAATTGATTCAGTGGACCTTCCATGGTTATGTCTAGCCAACCACATCGAGTCACCTTTGAGAGAGGAAAGCAGGGTATAGTAAAAGGAAAGGTTTTCCCTGAAATTAAGTCTAGTCATGTCCAACTACCGGGGGGGGGGGGGGGGTGCTCATCTCCATTTCTAAGCTGAAGAGACAGTGTTGTCCATAGACATCTCCAAGGTCATTTGGCAGGCATGACTGCATGGAGCACCATTATTTATTTATTTAAAAGTTTTGTATACCGACCTTCTCACCTCTCTTGAGGGACTCAGACTGGTTTCCAACCATAATATCACATACAGTCAATAAAACATCATAATTCATATTACAGTAAAACATTAAAACAGCAATTATATTCAATAACTACAGTAGTCAGTCACACTTAAATCGTTGTTCATCATCCTCCATCCATATCTCAGGGTTGGCTCACTCGTCGAATGCCTGTCTCCATAACCACGTCTTCAACTGTTTCCTAAATATCAGGATGGAAGGGGCGGTTCTGATCTCCAGTGGGAGAGAGTTCCAGAGTCGAGGGGCCACCACCGAGAAGGCCCTGTCCCTCGTCCCCACCAGACGCGCTTGCGAGGCCGGTGGGACCGAGAGCAGGGCCTCTCCAGACGATCTTAATAATCTTTAATAATTACCTTCCTGTCAAGGCGGTACCTATTGATCTCTTCACATTTGCATGCTTTTGAACTGTTTGGTTGGCAGAAGCTGGAGCTAACAGCAGGAGATCACCCCACATTTGATCAGATAGTTCAGCAGCTCAGCAGTTTAACTCGCTGCACCACCAGGGGGCCCTTATAGTAGTAACAATAATATGAGTATAGTAGTAACAATAATATGGATTTAGCGCTGTGTTTCCCATAGAACCAATCTAAATGCCAGCACACCAAGAAAATAATCATCTTGTATATTTTTGGAGTCCAGGAGAATACGTTGACTGCATTCCATTATATTGAGCCTAGTGTTAAGTACCATACACATGCCCTTCCAGCATATTTCACTGTACTCTGCTCAGTAAACACTATGACAGAATCAGTTAGGTAAAATATTTTATTTATTTACTATATTTATATCCCGACCTTACAATCGGCAGCAATTCGATGCCGTCAACAGACAATAGAAAATAGACGTGTACCTTAAAACAAATTAAGAACAATAAAACATTAAACACAATTTTAAAATCCCGTAATTTGAGGACATAGTCAAAGGCCATTGTGGTTGTTATTGCACATAAGTCTGCTTTACTTATTCCACAGCACTGTTGGCCACAAAATATTGTGTCCTGCTGCTATATTCAGTTGATACAGTATTATGATCCTTTTAGAAGTGAACTGTTCACTTCAATGCTACACTAGGGATACATAACATAACATTCTGCAATACTTGCTGAATTGAATGCTATTTGTGTCTTCATGTTTGCACTAAATTGTGTGATGCAAGGCCAGAAAGTTATTTTTGTTCTCTACAATATGTTCTGTCTACTTGATCTTTATGAAACAAATTGTTCTGTCTACTTGATCTTTATGAAACAGGTACATAGTGAAACAAGGATGCTGAATAACCCTAAGTACTCTAGGCCTTGTAGCTATAGTGAAACAATTTAAATTAGTACTTGTGAGACACAATGATTATATTTAAGAGGAAAAAAACAGCCATATTTAAACTCTTCAAGCAGTGGTTCTCAACCTTTGATCCTCCAGGTGTTTTGAACTTTAACTTCCAAAAATCCCAGCCAGTTTATCAGATGTTAGGAATTGTGGAAGCTGCAGTACAAAACACCTGGAGGACTAAAGGTTGAGAACCACTGCTAGTGTACCCTAAACGTTTGTAGTCAGTGTTGTGTAGAGATTGGATCAGATTGGGTTTTATGGCTCACTAGGTATTTGAATGTGGTCCACTCTATCTCTAGTGTAGCATTGTAATCACCATGGTCTACACTGCAGAATTAATATGATTTGACAGCACTTTCATTATCATGCCCAGTACTTTGGAGTCATTGGAGTTTTAGTTTTGCAAGTCCTCCTCTACCAAAAGAATGCTGATGCCTTACCAACTAAAACTTCCATGATGCCATAGCACTGAGTCATGGCATTTAAAGTGCTGTCAAACAACATTCATTTTACAGTGAAGATGCCCCCTATGCCACATTTTCTAGTCTAATGATTTAACTTTTCAAACTTTTTATTATGTTGCCAGAGCTGTTACCGTGCTTAGAATGAATCTTATTTTTCATGCTCACAGAAATTCATGTTTTGTCTCCAACTTTTATTTCAGATATTCAGATAAAGCTGCAGTCAAAGGTAAGTCTTGACGGTTGTTCATAAAAAAGTGTTGGTAGACTAAAATATCTGCTTAATAAAAATCCCTAATTAATTAAGAGAACAACCATATATGTCTGGGCATAGGCCAGTGGGGGGCCTATTATGATGGATTTTGCCTATGTGGTGTAATTCTAAATTTGAAGATGTTCTGTTTTTGAGCGATTTCAGCCATGATAGAGTTGATAGTCTATGGGAGTGTGCCACAAAGCAGGCAGTGTAGACCTTCCAGGCTTACCTCCTTCAGGGTCCAAGTCAGGGGCCGCATAACTTAACTAGCACAGGTCTCATTTGTCCTAAATCCAGCACTGGTGATGAGTGTCATTTATTCACAGTGTTTGGTAATCAAGAAGTGTTGCATTTGGGCAATGGTTTCATCGTTAGTTGTCATGTCTAATCATGGTGATATGAACTTGTTTAGACCTTTAAAAATTACTGTAGCTAGCAAAACTGTTCATGGCAGTGGATTCCATTAATTAATCTAGGCTTATGTTATGTACTGTCTCCTTGCAGTCCTGAGATGACTTCCAGTTTCATATCAGGATGTATTACTATGTTATCTGATTTGTGAATTATATTTTAAAATTTAATTCAGTTGCCATCTTTTTTTTTTTGCTTTTTAAAATAGGATAATTTAGACATTAGTATATCTCTAGCACCATTCAATTAAATTTTGTTTAAATTAGATTTTGAGACGATGGATAGATTTGCCTTTTGATCATGGGGGGGGCACACGGGGAGGGGACACAGGGAGGATTCCCTCCTTGATGGAGATATTCCAGTGTTTATATGTATATTGCAGATCCCAAAGAAGAGACAGAAGAGGAAGAAGTCTCCACTGTTATTGCTACTGGAATCCCAGTCAGCTCAGCCAGGTCCAGTCGGGGCTGGCGTAGCAACAGGACAGCTGCTGCTATTCATCAATGTGATACAGAAAATTCACGGAGCTCTAGATCCAAGACTGGGTCACTACAGCTCATCTGTAAATCAGAACCAAATTCAGAACAACTAGAATTTGGTATGACTGCTTTTAGTCATTGGAAAATAAAAATGTTGCTATTCTCAGTGGGTCAGTGTAAAACATATCATTTTTAAGGAGGAGCTCTTAAATACTAAAATTGTTTTATTTATGCTGTAAAGTTTTCTGTCACTAAATAAGGGTAACAGTTATCATGCTAGTATAGTTTAGTAGTTATAACAGAAACTGTTCATTGGGGCACAAACATCATTTTATTGCCATGGATACCCATGTATTTTGGGTAGGTGATTCCATGTTTGTTTCCATCGTAGGAAATTGATAAGAGCTTTTTAACTATTTAACCATTTTGAGTAAGTGCAGATGATACATTGTTTTTATATTTCACTGTACTGATACATTGCAAGCTCTAAGAAGCAAGCTAATCTGTCTATACTGTTATGTATTATTAAATACGTTTTTCTTCTTTAGAAGTCACAGAAGAGCGTTCATCTCCAGCTGGAATTAGGTAAGAAGATCTAATTGGAAGCCCTCATAGAATTTTCAATCTAAAATAGTACAAATATTTTGTAGAGCATTTGTTGTTAGATTGTATAGAATGAGTCAAAAGTTTTCAGCATAGCAGACAATGATTATTATTTATTATTTACAATGATCTGGAAAGATACCCCTCCCTCTCCAAGATATTACTGTAATCAACCTGGTTTGCTCCTGATACGATAAAAATCTTTTGTTATACATTCTGCATTGAATCTGCTTCTTCCCACAATACTGCCTTTTGTTCGGTTTGCGTAATAGTCTGCGTAAGACACAGAAGAAGAGTTCAGTGTTTATACTATGAATTTCTTTGTCCAGGAATACATTGATGTATGAATAATTTCCCTTTTCTTCCTCCTTCAGTGATGAAGAAGAAATGCTCATCAGTGAAGAAGAAGTTCCTTTCAAAGATGATCCCAGAGATGAAACCTATAAACCCCATTTAGACAGGTGCTATATTTTATATTTTCCAGGCTCAGGGAGATTGTATTCTTGTTGTAATACATAGTAAATACACACGATATTAAAATCTTTCCATCACAAGCATCTGTACTGTTTTTGAAAACAAATAAGAAAGGCATATATGTACCTTTTAATTACAGGATTTGGGAATATCAGAGACTTAAATATTTCCAAATCCTTATTGAGGAATGCTCAGACTGGATTTGTAGAGGAAAGATTTCCTTAACATGTGGTGCCTGTATTTACAGGGAAGTTCCAAAACAAAGGAAAAAATCTGGGAAGGGAAAAGAAGAAAAAGAGAAACAGAAAGAGATTAAAGTGGAGGTAGAGGTCAAAGAAGAAAGTGAATTTCAGGAAGATGAGGATCCACCTAGGAAGTGAGTACTGTTCTGTGTATGAAAACTCTTGATTGTACGGAGCATCTGTATGTAATGCTTGGTGCAATCAAGATTCCAAATGAAGTCGAAGTCTGTGCAAGTGATTTAGAGGAACTCTTGCTCCCATATACAGTTGTTTTTTTAAAAAAATTACTACACAAAGTAAATTTTATATCTTTGAAATACATTTTTTCTCATTCCCAAAAGTTTGGCCAGCCTTACCGTGTACTTTTACAGGTTCATTTTCTATCTTTAGTTTTAAAAACTATCACTTTTTAAAATTTAATAGTCATCAGTGTTGCACAACTCTAATTAAAACTCATCTTCTTAAAACTCCATGGCTGCTTTTCTCTTACCATGATAAAATATGTCTTTAAGTCACATATGAGCAAACCAGTTAAGATCTTTCCTTAAGAATAATCTCTTAAGGAATTTAAATTGCTGGCTATCTGCTTAAAATACAAAATATGTTCATAAATTAACTCCAATTCTCTCTTTTTAAAAAAATGCTGCAGTGAAATGGCTAGTAATATCTTAAGAAAAGTCTATGCTTGTACTTATACCAAGCTCATAGGATAGCTTTCCTTAATACAATGATTTTAATTTCAGCATGTGCTGAATTTATCATACTAAAGATACACATGCCATTCAAATATTAATTTATGACTTGAAAGTTCAAAGAGTCTCACATAAACAATATCCCTTGTAATATAACACTATGTAACAAGATTTTTGCTCCTGGGTTATAATAATATCATTTCCTAATTGATTCTGTCATATAAACATGGAAAAGGTTTATTAAACCGCAAAAACATTGTTTTTGTGGGACATCTTGCAGCACATTTTCCTATAGTTTTTCAATGAATATCTTATAGAGTCTAAACCACTTCAACATAGTTTGTGACAGCCACAAAAACGAAGTTTCTGAAGTATAACAACTACTTTCAAAGTAAGTACTGCACAATTAAATAGGAATAACACTTTCAAACAATTTTTGTCAAATTTGTTACATAGTGTAATTTGACATTAGGAACTGCCAGGTTGCCCCTTTCTGTGGCATCATACAGTAATTTAAATTTTATTGTGAATTTATTTGCTTGCCACACACATCCTTTTTTGCCTTTGCATGAAAGGTATTCCATTTTGTATTATAGAGATAGTTGGAAAGAGAGATAAAAGACTTGGTAAAAGATCTGCTTTTATTATTGCAATTCTACCTTGCAATTCATCGCTTGGATCCTCGGTGCACTTTCCAATTTTACTTGAGTAGTGGTTGTGTTGACCTGAGTTGTGTACAGGTCAGATCAGTCCAGAAATGCTTTGTGTAAGAATCACTACTTCCTATTCTGAAACTATTTGCACTAGTGTATGTATGTTTGCTTTCACAGCTGCAAGTATGAACTATTTTCTTTTAGTTTTTTATTTTGTTTTGTTCTTGTCCTAGGAGAGGAAGGAGAAGAAAAGATGACAAGAGCCCACGACTTCCAAAAAGAAGGTGAGTCCTTCTTGTCTTTCTCGCTTAATTGATACAGTACAAAGTGACTATTGAATAGGGGCCATTTAAAGATACTGTTTAAAAACAGTCTTCTAGTGGTTTTAGTTTTGCAGCTATAAAATCGGAGAATGTGCCTCTTTCTAAAGTGGTAGTACAACTTAGGAGAGCAAGCAGTATATGCCTATTGGTATCATTCCCCTGCTGTTGCTGACTGCTAGGAGTGTGTTGTCTAATAAGATTGAATAAATAAAATCGTGTTGCAGTCTTGCTTTGAGGTACCTAACACATCTTCAACGCCTCCTTTTTTTTAATGGTCTGTTTGCTAGAAATTGAACTTCCAATCTTTGGTTCACATTCTTTCTGTGCTTTATACCTCATTCTGATTGTGTGTTCAGTAAAGATGAGGTTTTGGAATACATTGTTTTAACATTTATTTAATTATGGAGACTTAGTCAAGGTGTCCATATATAGTTGTTGTAAAATAATATCTGTATTTAAAAACAAAGCATCGGCTATGCTGAATAAAATAAATATGTGTGTCTTAGACCTGTCTGTAGATTGTTGTTTTAAAAGTGATAATGGTACTTGTGTGTTACTGATTTTTATATGCTTGATGTTCTAAAAAGTTGCTTCTGAATGACAGATTATATCCTTTAAAAATCCTACCCATCCAAAACGATTAATATTAGAGTGGCGTTGGACCAAATTCTGCAGTGGATTTTCAAAATTATGTTGATCATTCATCTATGATATTCTTAAAACTTTATGGGAAAGTATTTTGACATGGCTATTGACAAATTAAGGTGTAATCGTACATTTCACACTACTTTTAGATGAAAGCCATCCTCATTAGTCTTACTTACTTACTTACTTAGGCGATCCCTCGTTGGACGAGTAGGATAGTCGTCCAGGATCAGTATTCTTGTGGGTCTGTAGGTGGCTGTGGAGCCCTATTCTTGCTCTGCATCTTCTTCCGCAGTGAGGCCATTGGTTTCCAGGTGGAAGGCGGTCCCGGTCGGGGTGGCTTGACGCGCCTTCCTCCTGGCACGTTTCTCTCTTTCACCCTCCATTCGTGCCTCCTCAAATTCTGCAGCACTGCTGGTCACAGCTGACCTCCAGCTGGAGCGCTCAAGGGCCAGGGCTTCCCAGTTCTGTGTCTATGCCAGAGTTTTTAAGGTTGGCTTTGAGCCCATCTTTAAATCTCTTTTCCTGTCCACCAACATTCCGTTCTTGAGTTCGGAGTAGAGCAACTGCTTTGGGAGACGGTGGTCGGGCATCCGGACAACGTGGCCGATGGCGGAGAACCATCTCTTCAGTGCTGGTGGTCTTTGCTTCTTCCAGCACACTGACATTTCTCCGCTTGTCTTCCCAAGAGATTTGCAGGATTTTCCAGAGGCAGCGCTGATGGAATCGTTCCAGGAGTTGCATGTGACGTCTGTAGACAGTCTATCAGGTATAATACACTGGTTATCTTAGCATACCCTTTCTTATCTCTTCTCTCTCGTATTCCATTTTTTCTAGGAAGAAGCCCCCAATACAATATGTACGGTGTGAGATGGAAGGATGTGGCACAGTTCTTGCACACCCTCGCTATCTACAAGTGAGAATTATAGTAGCAAACAGTTTGTGTACAATTGTGTAATTTCTCAAGGAGAGTAAAGGACTTGGCTGCTTTGTCCATTATGAATCAAGCTGGATAAGCAACCCCATATTTCTTATATATATCAGTGAGGACTGCCAAGCATTTGATTTGGCTTTCCTACCATCCTCTAACCCAGGGGTTCTCAAACTAAGGTCCGAGGGCCGGATACAGCCCTCCAAGTTATTTACCTGGCCCTCGCTCAGGGTCAACCTAAGTCTGAAACGACTTGAAAGCACACAGCAACAACAACAATCCTATCCCATCAGCCAAAAGAAGATGAACACTTCTCATTGAAATACTAATAAGTTCATATTTGTTAAAATTGTTCTACATTTTGATTGTATAGTTTTAAAGTGTTTTTTGCACTACAAATAAGATATGTGCAGTTTGTGTAGGAATTCATTCATGTTTTTTTCAAATTATATTTCAGCCCTCCAACAGTTTGAGGGATTGTGACCTGGCCCTCTGTTTAAAATGTTTGAGGACCCCTGCTCTAACCCAAACTTTTTAAGCAGAGGGCTGGTACACAATTCCCCAGACTGTTGGGCATCAGGCTATAGTTTAAAAAAAACACGAACCAATTCTTATGCACATTATCTTATTTGTAGTACAAAGAAAAAGAAAGAAAAATGCAATATTTAAAATGAAGAACAATTTCACTGGGAAGTGTAGACCTGCCGTTTGCTGATGAGATAGTCAAATTAATTAGGATTGTTGTTGTGTGCCTTCAAATTGCTTCAGACTTAGGGTGACCCTAAATCTAAAGTTTAGGGTAGGGGCTGGGTAAAGGACCATGGAGGGCTGCATCTGGCTCGTGGGCCTTAGTTTGGGGAAGTGTCTACACCAAAGTACTGATTGTCTCCTTATAGTCAACTTAGGTACTTCATTTTTCTCCTTCCTTCGATGTAGTGACTTTCTGAATACATTTATTCCATAATTGCCTTTCTGCTTCATCTAGCCATTAGACTTTACTAGATCTCAGTGTCTTCCAAGAATGAGAAGAGCATTACCATTCATGGAACAGGAAGTCTCTGTCCAGCTCAGTGCACTGGAAGAATTTCCTTGGACAATTGAAAGGCATTGCTTGTGAGCTTGGCTTTTGTACTGGATTAGAATATTTTACGTACAAATAAAAATAACTATCTTCTTATTGACTTCCAAATTCTTATCCTTTCCAGGCAATTATTTTCTTGCATGTCAATTGTAATTAGTCTCTCAGTCTTCTCATAATTGTATCATCCATCTAATTTTTTGAAAACAAAAAGTCTAGTAAAGTCCAGTCTGTAAGGCATTTGGGTTTGCCTTCATGTCTTTTTTTTTTAAAAAAGGTTAATCTGCCCATATTCTTTATATCCATTATTTTAAATTTCCATTCTTCCGATGGGTTTTCTCTTGTCTTTCAATGTCTTGCAAATACAATTCTGGCTGCAGTTATCATATAGTTAAATAGGATATCTTGATTCTTATTCATATTCATATCTGTCATCCCTAATAAATAGTATTCAGGTTTCAGTTGAAATTTTATTTTTTTAATTTTTCTGGATATTTAATGAATCATTTTCCAATAGATTTTTGCAATTTTACACCCCCACCACATATGGAAGAAGGTTCCAGTTTAAGTGCCACATTTCCAACAGCAATTTTTAACATTTTTATAAAATTTGGCCAATTTTTGTGGTGTGATGTACCACTGGTACATCATCTTGTACCAGTTTTCTTGTAGATCAAAAGAATATGTATACTTTATTTTTTCTTCCACATTCGTTCCCATTCTTCCATTTTTATTGGTCTTCTAATATGTGCAGCCACTTTGTCATACAATCCTTGAACTGTTCTTGTTCCGTAGACAATTGCAATAAGATTTTATAAATTTTTGCTATTGTCCCATATTGTATCTTTTTCCGAGAAGCCCAATTTTTTAGAGTACAGGGCTACAGCTGTTAGCTTAGCCACAATTCCTTTTTAGGGGTACTGTGCTCTGATATGTTACAGGGAAGGTTGTAGTGGTATTACTTTAACAGTGTACTTTCACAAGACACATTTAAATACTAGGGTAATTCCACACAGTGAATGAAATGATGCAAACCCACTTCCTTTGGAGCCAAGGGGAGCAAACAGAGATAGAAAAAGCTAGAGTGCAGAAGCAAAATGCTAGAGTGTTTTAACCCTAGTACTCCAACATGTGCATGTTGAAATAGTTTTTCACTTGGACCATTGAATGATGTGTGATTTTGAGTGGAAGATAAAAATACCCCCCTCCCAATTGATGTTGTTTTGTTTTGTAAAGGGTTTTTGGGAATCTTTACATGCCTATAAACTTTGTATACTTTCAGAGCCTCTGTTTCTTAAGAGTAGCATGATACTGTTTGAGCTCTGATTGAAGTTACTCTTATTTGAAATAATAAGGTGTGTTTTTGTAAAAGCAAACAAACAAAACTCCAAAACAGTCCTGAGTGAAAGCATAAATACAGAGAAACTACAGTTAACTCTCCATGTTTGTGTCTTTTAAAAGTCATTCATGAGACCACAAATTGAAAACTCGGGTATTTTTTTTCCGTATATTTTCATTGTTCCATTGTCGTCCTAAATATGTTTAAACCCGGGCACTGAGATTCACAATTGAAATGCAGGGTTTAATTTTAGCATCTTTTAAATTGTGTATTTATAATTTGTCAGCCTGAAATTACTTTGTTTTCAGCATCACATCAAATATCAGCATCTGTTGAAAAAGAAATATGTTTGTCCTCATCCTTCATGTGGGCGACTGTTCCGGCTCCAGAAGCAGCTTTTGCGCCATGCCAAACATCACACAGGTAACATGGATTTTAGATCAAAGTTCCCACTTTTAATGTCAGCTAATCATGGTCCCTAACCCCACACATTCTTAAACCACTTAAACCAAAGAAGCCCATTTCAATTCCTGATCGTAGCACAACAAAATGCAGAAAAATCAGGGAGGGAAATGAGTGCTTCAGTGATGTTGATCTGTGCTGATGATCCAACTGGCCTAAGACTAACAACTTCTTAAAACTAAAGGTTTTCTTGCCACGAAAATCCTAATGATAGGGTTACTATAAGGCACAGAACAACAGCACATTTTCTGAAGGAGTATGTGGAAGTATGCACATAATTCTTTCTAAATGTATATGGCATACATGTTATTAAAATGTATAATGCATGTAGTGAACAGTCAGTAGTGATCCGACTAACAATTTAAAATGGACATATGTAGGGTTTAACACAGTATGTATGGTGTGGAACATTCTTAATGAGCTTTGTACAATTGTTTCTCTTTAGTGCAGTGCTTGCAGAAGAAGAAAGGTTAGAATATATTAAGAATAAATGGCTTGGGAATAGATGTAGGCATGTTGACACTTGATAGACTTCTAAATATTTTCAAATTTGAAAGTGAGAAATAATTCCCTATGATTGTTAAAAAGCTACGTCACTCCTTTAAAATATTTGCTTGATAGTGTTGTGAATGCAAGCATTGCGATTTCCAATCGTGTGCTGTGGATCAGGCTAAATTACTTTATGTTGCTTTACAGATCAAAGGGATTACATCTGTGAATATTGTGCCCGTGCTTTCAAGAGTTCGCACAATCTAGCAGTACATCGAATGATTCACACAGGCGAGAAGCCACTACAGTGAGTAGTGTTTGGTTCTTTTTTTGCTGCTAAAAAAGCAAGAAAGCAAGGCAGTGTATCTCCTGGCTGTGTTCAACTCAGTTTCTTTTGCATATTACAAGCTGAAATAGCCCTAGATATGCTGACCAATAAACATAAAGGAGTGCTACTTGGAGATCCTCCTGATTCTCTTGATGACTTTTGGTACCATTAAACGTTTGGCTTTGTGTATAAAAAGTGTAAAAGAGTATTAAACACAAGCAGTTCTATGGAATGGTGGTAGAAGGCACTGTGTTACAATGGCTTGGCTCCTGTTTGCAAAGCTATTCCAGAAAGTGGCATTAAGAGATTCTTGTTTAGATTCATGGCTTTATAGCTGGGGTGCCAGGGGGTTCCATCATATCCCACAAAGTGTTTAATATGTATACAGATCTGGTGGGTGAGGTCACCAGGGATCTTGCAATTGAGTGCCCTCAATATGTTGATGACATTCAGCTCTTATTTCCCCTTGTTGTTAGATTCAGTTGTGGCTGTGCAGGTGCTGAAAAAGTGTCTGGATCCTTTCATGTTCTGAATGAGGGCTAGTAAATTGATACTCGGTCCCAGTAAGATGAAGGGTCTATGAATTGGCACATCCTGGGTCTAGAACCTGGCAAGTAACTTGTCTTGACTGACTTTATACTTCCTCCAAAGAACTAATTATGTCTCCTAAGAGTACTTTTGGATCCATCTCTGTCATTGAAAGCCCAACATTGGCTTATTTCCTGCATCATTATAAAACACTGAGTTTTAATCAGTGTTTTGAGGGTCTAACCCAGACCTCTTCAACCTGCTACTCTCCAGCGGTTTGAGCCTCCAACTCCCAGAATTCCTGACAATTGCACAAGCTAGCTAGGGCTTCTGGAAGTTGGAGGCCCGAACAACCAGAGTCTCAAGAGGCCTGGTCTAAATACTTTGTTATGTTTTGTGCAGCTCCCTGGTTTTTAGCTTGTTTCAAATTGTTATATTTTTATTTTATATATATTTTCAACAGAATTCATTAAGCATTAAAAACGACACACTTCAGCTAAACAAAAATAACATAATACAGTCAAATAATAAAAATAAAGACATTACTTGAATGTCTTGTCTAGGTTTCCTACCTTCCCTTTTAGATTGAGCTTCTTTAATATTCTTGCATTTGATGAAAAGAATACTTAAATATTAAATGCCTAATGCTTATTTTGGTTCACAGATACTACTACTACTTCCTTATTTCATCTAACTTTTGAACCTTTGAAACCCTTTTTATATAGTTACTATTCCCACAAATTCCCTGTTCATATTTTATTGTTATAAATTTTCTGTCCTTCCTGTAGTAAGACATATTCCTTAAAATAGTTTTCCATTTTGTCCCACTCTTTTCGCACATTGTTTATATCGTTATATTTTTAGACTTTAAATTATTCTTGCTATTTTAATATTTTAAATTGTTTTACATTTTATTTTATTTATATACTTGAGATTTTGTGATGTAAGATGTAGCAGAAAAATTGAAACCCTTGTATTATCTTTCTCTTCTTCACCCACCCCATTGTTCTTTAGATGCGAGATCTGTGGGTTCACCTGCCGGCAGAAAGCCTCATTGAACTGGCACATGAAAAAGCATGATGCAGATACCTTTTATCAGTTTTCTTGCAATATCTGTGGAAAGAAGTTTGAGAAGAAGGACAGTGTGGTGGCACATAAAGCCAAGAGTCACCCGGAGGTGCTCATTGCTGAAGCACTGGCAGCCAATGCAGGGGCCCTCATCACCAGCACTGACATTCTGGGTACCAGCCCAGAATCCATTGTCCAGCCCAGTGACAACCAGGGGCTTCCCCTTCTTCCCGACCCCCTTGAAAACACCACTCCTGGAGAGTGTCTACTGCTGAACCCTGACGGGATGCCTAAGACATATTGTGACGAGAGCGACCAGGTCAACCTGATGGCTGACGGCAAGATTTTTGTTGGCAGTACTAGTGGCGAGAATGCAGAAGGGCTGGTCATGAACCCGGAAATCCTTGGGGCTACCACTGAAGTGCTAATTGAGGATTCGGATTCTGCAGGACCTTAGTGGGAGAGGAGCACATGTGTGTTGGGACAACAAGGACTTGTATTTAAAAGAATGAATTGGGGAAAATTTATTCAACATAGATGGACTTAAACAAAAATTAAACTAGTCAAATATTACTAAAGGGCCTGCTCCCCTTCAGCCCTCCCTCCCAGAATGGATCACTACACATGCTTTCCCAGTACCCTTTTTAGAGAGGAAAGTTGCCTTTACACAGACTGGCAAAGCAAAAGAATTCTTGCAATGCAGTAGAGGGACGCAGCCAGAGCCTGTCCCTCTCCCTGCCCTCCCAAAGCAAGCAGACCTCCTGCTTCTCGACATTGTTGCAAGATTAAAGGTGTTTGTACTCTGGACCAGTATCTTTCTCAGAACCATCCCATGCTCCTCCAGTTGCACCAACCTGTTCTATGCATTACTGAATTCTGACCCTTGCAGGCTCTTCTGTTTCCGTCTAGGGCTTGGGAATATAGCTTGGCACTTTAGAACCCCTCAGCAGGATGAGCTGTAAAACAGCATATACCTTTCCCATTTCCCCCTCCCCAATCCCTTTCCCCCTGCATCATTCCTTCTGCTTTGGTAAGGAAAGAGAGGGAATACTGGCACTCTGGTGCTCACTTTTTCAAAGAGGAGTGCCATTATTTTGTACAGTTACTCTGGCTGCAAAGGCTCTGTATGGGAGAGGCAGAGAGAATGGGTGCTAGGCTTGTAAAAGAAAACTTGCACTTTGAACATGTCTTGTTTTTAAGTTGTGATAACAAATTCTTTATTTATTTGCTTTTTTTTAAAAAAAAGATTTGTTTTAGTTGCTGTCCAGGAGGGATTTTCTTCCAAATTTGAAAATCCTTAGTAAAGTGTATAAAACAGAATCAGCTTCTTCAGCTAATCACACTTAAGCACTGCCCTCACCTAAAATGAAAAGTTCATGGAATAGTGTAGCCCTTACAGTGAAGCTCCTGTTTGCTTCATCATTTGTTGTTTACTGGAAAAGGATTTCTTTGTGAAGGTGTGACGTCCGCTTTAAAGATTTGACCTTTTTTCATTATTCACCCCCAACTTTTCTAATGTTTTCCTTCTGTATGTTGTATTGTTAGTTTTGTGTCTTTCTCTAACCTGGATGAGTAAGCAGAAAACTTGGTCTTAAGGAAGTGATATTAACTGCTAAACAGCATAACGGCTTCCCTCTGATATATTTTGCTTTTAAAACACTCTAGTCCAATTCTTGAAAACACATGTGGAAGCAAAACTGCAAGTATCAGCTAGTGTCCATCAGCTAGTGTACATTCTGGTTTTCCTCAGTCATGCATCTAATGTTTGCATGTAGACACAGACCATCTTGTTTCTGTGAAATTGATGGCTTGAGTGTCTCAAGAAGGTGAAAGACATCTTGCATTTTAGGCAGAATGTGGGAAGCCCTGTGACTTTTCAAAGATTTACTTTAGTCACAACCTGTATGCATCCTTGGTTGTTACCTAACAGCTTGTGGTGTCACTATATCCCAGGAGTGACAGTATTATGTAGACTTCTCTTGGAGCTGACCATAACTAGGATTGTTTTGCAGCCTGTGCTTGAGCAGTGCTTATCATTAAAGACAGATACCTTTTCATCCAGAGCTCTACCTCGTGTACAACAAGCTCATATTAACTATGCATTTTCCCACACGTCTTTTGCCATTTCATTTGTCTAAAAATGAGTCCCAATGCACTCTTTTTTCACTAGAAAGTCAGTATCAATAGAGGGTAATAGGACACAATCTGTGGCAGCCCTCTAAGGGTTTTAGTGTACCCCACACCTTCCATTTCTGCAATCTGGTGGGAGGTGTCTCGGCAATCAGCTAAGGGCCATCTGTGGTATTTGTTGTTTTTTATATTAAGTTTGGCATTGGGCAAATACTTGCAATTGAAAGTTTGTTTTGTGTGCTGCTTGAAGAAGCATCATCCTATTTCAGTTATACTGCATTTCACTTATTAAAATGGATGATATAATAGACATTCAGTTTTAGCTCTGTAGGAACTTGAATCGTTCAGGGAAAAGGCTGAGCTGGCAGTGTACTTGAAGTCCTTTCTTAGATTGAGTTACCATCAGCCTCTGGTCTGTCCGTCCTGGATGGCTCTGTTTGTCTCTTTTTTCACCCTGTGTTGGGGTATGTTTGTATGCAGTTTTGTTTCAAGCAACATTGTTTATGTTTAACTGGGTCAGCCCCTAATACTCTAGGTTGAATAATTTCTGGTTTTAGATTTATGAACTGAAACCCTTTAGTCTTTACATGAAGCGTTCCTGCTGCTTCCCTATAATGTCTCTCCCACCATACGCATGCAGTCTGGCTTCAATCAATTATTATAGTATCTGCAATAAACTGTTTTTTTCTAGGGAGCTTATTTCCCATGGGAAGAAAGCATGGTGCTGGGAGCTTGAAGCTATAGTCTCCTTCCCACTGTAATATGGGATAGTTTACAGTAACTAATCTGATGTGATCCCAGCACAGAGTCAGTTCTGTAATGTTGTCCTCTTTATAAACTCATTGGTTCTGTAAATGTAGAACCCCTTCCTGATAACTCTAGGGATGATTTGAATCTCTTCCCCTCTTTTCAGGAGCTGACACAAACTTCTTTCCCAGCCAGATGACCACAGATTATTTTTTCAGAATTTTATCTGAACATTGATAGAATAGTACAAGATGGGAAGAGGAGCTCAGGAGTTTAGTATGCTTAGTGTGTGAGAAATGGTCCGTCTAGTTCAAATAGTTTCTGAATGGCACAAAACCTTGGCAGGGGCAGGGCAGGGGTGAACGGTAACTCTGTGGAGAAGTTTTCCAGGGTGATAGCAGAGACCTGTGGGGGAAACTGCACTAGCATTGTGAATCCTACCAGAGAGAGGGCAGGATTTGCTATACTTTGCAGAGCTACCTGAAGAAGTAGCCACTGGGTGGCAACAGAGCTGTGTTGCATTGTGGCACACCCCTATTTTTTAGTGTTAAAGTGAAAGGATGGTTAAGTTGACAAGTCTTTGATTGCTTAAAAGCCTTGTTGCATATAAATTTTTCCACAAAGGACTGGAGATTTGGGGTGGGATGCCAGGGGGAGGGGCAGTGATCCATGTTGATAAAAGGTTATGTATACAAAAGTCAATAAAACAATAAAAAGGGACATTGCTTTTTTCATCTCTTGTCTTTAAGCTGGGTAAGCCATAACCAAAATAAATACTTAAAGGGGGGAAATAATATTTTGTGTCTTACTGCGCATGCTAATTGTACAAAATGTGTAATGTGAGGGAAGCTCCTTAAATGAAGCAGATTATAGAGTAATTCTGTGCCCCTGGTAAGTTAGCTGGAGCAACCATGTATCAAGACTAAAGACATCCTCTTTGTCACTGGTCCACTGCAGGAAGGAAAGGTGCTTCCAAGATGGTAGAGGGGCATATATTTTACCCTATTTAAATTATGAATTAATTCCCATAATTCATGGAACATTGCATCGTTGCATTGGTGTTTAATCTGTAGTTATTACTATCCGTTGAGGTTCTAGTAGAGTCCATATACTTTTCAATTATTTCTTTTCATGTATTGAATGGCATCTGTCCTCACTCAAAGCACCTATGTGGTCCTGTCCCACATTTTGATGCTTAAAGAAAAAGCATTGAGTTGTATTTTGCAGTGGATCCAGTTTGACACTCAAGTCAGTGTGAAATTTGTAAGGCATCCTGGGGGGCTCTCAGAAGACGCTCTATTTTTTTATTTATTTTTTGCTCATTCACACAGTTTTACAGAAGTATCCAGTTGGCTGTTTGTAATTGTTCCACCATGTTTTCTTAGTACTGTACTGCTTCCATCTTCATTGTTACTGTAGCTGGAACTTTGGGAATACTAATTCAAAAAGTAACTACTTTGAGCTTTGGAAAATGAAATTTAATTGACAAGGTAAGCTCTCTGAGCTGGGAGCTCAAAAAGGTACAGAGCCATCACTAAGAAGTTTCTGGCTACATGTTGCATATATGTTCACTAGGGACACTGCCAAATTATGGTATGTGGGAAGTGGAAGTTGTTAAATGATCTTCCTTTCAGTTGTCCCTTTTTTTTGAAAACAGGAATCAATTGGGTGGTTTGCAGAGTAATAAGTAGTTTTTTTCCCTACTTGTTGAAAGTATTTAATATATACAGCTTTTGTTTAAAAAATTCCAATGAACATTCCACAAGGAACTGTGAGCATTCATGTGTAACACATTAATGATAGCATTGCAGCGTGTAAAGTTGATAAATATGAAAATTACTTGCCCATCTAAATAGTTTGGTAAATAGAACTTTACATGTTCAGTCCTGATATTGCTGCTGGCTTTGTTGGCGGTGAAAAGGCATTGCTTGTTGAGCCAAGGCAATATTAATATCTTGCTTTTATCTACTATTTCCTATGAAAACTTGCTATTCCACTGCAGGGAAAAGGAAAATGTGGAGAACTGGAAAGGCAGAATGTACGACTGTTAATTAGATAATTAAGCAGGATGTGAGCAGGATGTTGGGGTTCAGGTGTCAGTTGAGAGCAAATTCAACTCATCTTCCCAATGAGAAACTTTTGTGACTGATTCTTGGAAGGAAAGATCAGATTCATAGAGTGGGCTAAAACTCCACTGCAATGTGTGACTTTCAGAAGGAATCAGATGTGGAAGGGACCACAAAGATAATCCACCAGACCACCATATAGGAATATGGCACTAAAGGGGGAAAAAATTCCTCTTCTCCCCAAAAGCCAACACTCCAAAGCTGTGTCATCTGGCAATACACTGTCTTTAAAATGTGGTCCTTTTCTCTTCTCTCAGACCTGAAAACCGCTGTTGTAGGCTGTATAGAGCCCTTCTTAAGGGTATCTGGACACACTCTGCAATGTACACATATCAGCCAGACAGCTTGTACAATTCCGAAAGCAAGAGAGGCACTTGAGTATCAGCTTTTGACGGAGACATTTTTGATCTCTTTGTGCACCAGTACTAGGCTAGCTCATCTCATGTGTTACTCCTTACTGTAGACCACCTCAACTGAATGCCATACTAGCAAAGGGTAACAAGATTTACTCGGAACTGGAGCTCAGGGAAGGTTGCCATGATATGTAAAGGAATGCTTGTCCAAATGATAAAAATGTACCTGACATGTCAGAATTGTACTTCAAAAGATACCTATGAAACCAAAAGCAGGCTGCTAAACATCCATTTAAGTAACTATACACAACTCCCATAGGTTTGCTTCTTGGAAGCCCTCTTTGGAATTACTAAAATTTTGACAGTGACCAAAATGCATTACAATTTTGAAAAGTCTGCTGCAATTATATGTGACAGATACCACTAGTCTATTGTTTCTAGGAAGCACCTGTCTGAATTTTCCCTTTTTGATGGGAAAATTCAGCACTGCATCAACAACCAAAAACTGTCAAATATAGATGTGTATGCAGATGTTCTCTTTGTTAGAGACTATTCACTTTTGCATTTGGCAGTACAATGCATAGTAACATGCAACTACTGGATTGCCGAAAATTACAGACAGTTTAGTATAGAAAGTGCCATACCTTTCACACTGAATAAACAGCACTATCCCAGGTTACTGGGATTTCTAGTTTGGTGAAGCTTTAGAGCTCTCTAGCTCAGAATACTAAGTACTAGGCTGGTGCAGAAAAGTTGTATCCTGATGTAAGTCATAAGAAATTTGTGCTTACGGCAAGATATCCAATGCACGTGTGCGGTCTGCGCCAAAAATTTAATAATCAAAGCTTGAGAGAGATTTGATTGTTAAGTTTCTATTCCCCCCGGAAGTCTCTGTGTTTGCTGCAGCAAAGAAATTGCAGAGTACCGAGCCCAGAGTGGGTTGCACCATAGCAACTAGGCTGCTCATCCCCAGCACAAGCAGCAGTGCTGACAATGGGTAGGTACCATATGCCTGAACGGCGTTGGTGGTTGTTGCAAAAGCAGCAGCAAGAAGAGGGGGCCAATTTCTATTAAAAGGTCATGGCAATGCTTGTTGGATTATCGTTTGCCCAAGCATGCAAGGTAGACTTGGCAGAGGGTTCTGTTAATCCCTACCTGAAGGAGTCGGTAGGGGTTCTGGCCTGTGATCCGTTGACCTGCTAGTCTACCTGGAGCAAGGTATGGCCAGATCTGTTGATGATTTCCCAGAAGTTTCTGAGCTGTCCACCTACCAGTGTGCAGTGTGAGAGGGTTTTCAGCCTGAAGATGCCATCGCCCTTGACCAGAGCCTGTTGGATCCCACCTGGGTGAAACTGCTGGTTTTCCTGAGGGCCAAGGAGTTTTTACAAGTTGCCTTGGTACACACCAGGCAATTTTTAAGAGTTCCACCAATTGTGGGGGAGTTCTGTAACAGAAAGAACACCACAAGTGTAATACTATGGGTGAACTCTAGGATTTCCTCTAAACCACTACTTCTCAACTCTGACATGCATACCTGTGCCATGAGGCCACTTCTATACCTGAACAGATGTTCCTTTCTGGCATTATTTTCTAACTGACTGAAAGAGAACCACTTCTGCCATCTCACAATAGGCAATCTGTTTCAGGTTCTTAATAACTCCCTTATTAGCCTGAAAGCACTCAGCCAATACTTTATTTTGTTGGATCTGCCCATAGACCTCTATTAGGAAGTCAATTCAAGGAGATAGCTCTTGTAGTTTTTTTTTTTAGATGTTGTTTATAAAAACTTTGAAAATTCTCCAAAAATCCATGGATAAGTAAAACATTCTGAAATTTGGTCAGTCCTTAACAGTCCTGACAGTGATAAGCCAAGGGTGGGAAATGCAGCAGCTATAGGTAAATTTCAAAATAAAAATAGATATCAGTAAAATTACATTAATTGAGGCATCGGTAGGTTAAATGTCTTTGAATATTTACATAAAAATTTAAGATATTATTCTAACCTTCAGTGTAAATGTGCTTATGTAGCCTTCCAATAATCATCATAGTTAACTATATATTTTGGGGGAAATGCTGTGTGCATATGAATAAGGAAAAGTGGGAAAGACTGGCACTGAGAGAGGAGGAGAGGAAGGTGTGCGCTGCACGAGAGAGGAAGAAAGGAAGGAGAGCTGGCTTTCTGTGCAGAGAGGTGAGCGTCCTGGCAGGAAGGCATGGGGCTGAACGAAGCCCTTATTTCATCCCCATGCCTTCCCACCAGGACCCTCACCCAAGTATAAGCCAAGGGGGGGGGTGGCTTTTTCAGCCTTAAAAAAGGACTGAAAACTAAGCTTATACTCGAGTATTTGCTTAGTATTTGCTCTCCATATATCTATAGCACTTATAGTAAGTTTAATACACAATGCTCCGTTCTTGTGTAGAATGCAACTAAACAGTTTAATTTTAAGTCCTTACTGAGCTGTGAAATTTTGTGGACTACCATAGGCCTGTTCCTCTCAATCTGACCAATTTCACTGATCTGTTGTGATGATCTAGTGGGGAGGAAGAGGTTACTTTGAATTCCTGGGAGAAAAAGCAAGAATATTTGTGAACCAAACCAAAATTCAGACCAAAAGAGATATTTTCAGATTGACACCTCCCTAGCTGTGTCAATTGGCCCTAGTTTCTGAGCAAAGGAGGAGGAAATATTTGGACAATATAGCATCACCAATTAGACCAGGCATTGTTGAAATAATTCAGATTACAAATGACCTCCCAAAACAGTGTGGCAAATTGCATTACATTGATAAAGCAGAACGATTTCACAGATTTGTTTTGGGTTTTAGTGAAAGCAAAAAGTAAATGTGAGCCAGTTTCTTTTGTGCTTTCAGGGTTAAGCTTTGCTGCGGCTGAATTTACAAGGATTAAGTATGTCGCTGACCTGGCTGGTAGCAAATTAGAGGCAAAGCAGTGGAAAAGCATGCAGGGAAAGGGAGGATACAAACAAGCTGGAGGGTGGTAAAGAGAGAAAGGACTATGTGTGGGAGCAGGCAGTGTCTACTGTGCACAGCCTGTATGATGAACAGAGTGGGTTGGAGAGCTGGAAACAAAAATTGCTGGTGATAATTTCCAAGGGTTAAGCTCCACTGCCAAGACTTTGTTGTTTCTTCTCAGGCCGCAGGGGACAGAAGGTGGGGCGGGGAGGGGGAGAGGGAGAGAAGTGCCAGGCACACAAGCGGAGGATTTTCTACTTGTCTGGAATGTATGAGCTGAGCAAGGGATTTTTGTGGACACCCGGCTGTGTGCGAGCCTCAGCTGCAGCTGTCACCTCTGGGCCAGCCGGACTGGGTGATGGCTTCGACAGAGCGGCTGCCTGGGGCCTCCCAGCACCATGAGTTCTGCCGTCCCACCTTGTACCTGCTGAGAAAGATGCGCTCAGATGCCAGTCTCCTCCTTGAGTCCTATGTAAGTCTTGTTTTCTTCTCCCTGCCTCTATCATAGCCTTTTCCTACTCTCTTGTGGGTCTCTTCCTTTACATCTTAAAAATTCCAGGCACTTTATTTAGATGAATGAGAAGCCAAAGCACTCTTTTTCTCTGCTCTTACAGGAAAAGCATTTTTATTTCAATTTTGTGGGAGAGTAAAACCTTTCTGAGGCATGTTTCTTCATTCTTTTTCTATCCGATCTCATTTTTCTTTCTTTCTTCTAACGAGGCACCATGAATGGCTCTCCTTGTCCCCACATTGTCAGCACAATAACAACTGTGTGAGGTAGGCTAAGCTGAGAGTAAGCGCCTTGCACCAAAATGAGATTTATGGCTCCCTTTCAAATCCCAAGCCAGGACTAATCACATCATATCGGCTCTTGGCATTTTGATCTTAGTGTGCCTGGCCAAGTGCAAAGCTTTAAGAAAATGAGAAAAATGGTCCTAAAGAAAGTACTGTCAGTGCTACCTACCTGTCTTGCACTTAAATTGGATCCCTCGTTAGATTCATAATCGTAGAGAGATGTAAAGATTTCTTGTTGGGGTGGGTTAATCTTTATTCACATCACAGTTTACTTCATTGATTCAATTTGAATCCGCTAAGCTTCCCCTCACCCCATTTTGTTTGTGTTGAGCAAAATCCAATTTTCTAAGTGTCTAATTGGATGGCTGCCTTTAACTCCTCTTTTCCCTGCTCCCCTTCAAAACCCAATATTTAAAGCTTTCCCTCCAACAAAAGAGATGACTCACTAAAGCACAGAATCAGATAACTGGCATGAGTAACATGTCATATATATATATAAATACACACACACACACACACACCAGCCCACTCCCTACCCAAAGGCAAATCCATCCTCCCAGCTAGCGCTTCATTGAAGAAAGAGGCAATGCAGAGGAAATATGTCTAGATCCAGCAATTATTTAGAATCATATATTGTAGAGTGGATGAGGGAAATCAAGGAATTACACAAGGTTTACTACCTACCCACCCTTTTGGTAAATCTGGTAACAGTCCATCAAAACCCATTTATTAACTCTTAAAAGGGATATTTTTGAGCAATTTATCAATATAAAAGGTATAGTTGCCATCCTTATTAAGTTGTCTAGGCTGAGCTGAAATCCAGAGTAATGTTATGATGCACCTGCCTGGAGTTGTGGGTGGAAAGGGAAAGGGAAAGAAACTAATCTGATTGAAAACAAACTGTCCTTATAATACAGTGCCATCTTGTGGTAACAGTATAACGTCAGGGTTTTCAAGGCTGAATGGAGATTTGAACCCTGTTCTCCAGAGTTGTAGTTCAGTGCTCAGACTATTACATCATGCTGACTCTGATAATTTATTGGTATTATGTGTCTTCAAGTCAACTCCAATTTATGGTGACTTTATGCCAGGGGTTTCTTCACTTTGTTCAAAGTGGGCATTGCTTTATTTTCCTCTGAGGCTGAAAGAGTCTGACTTGGCCAAGGTAATCCAGTACAATGTTTAAAAATGATTTTATTGTAAGTTGTAGTTTTTATGGTATTTATGTGTTTAGCATACTCTGATGCTCATGTGAAGCCGTGCTGAGTCCCCCTTGTGGGGAGAAGGGCGGGATATAAATATATGAAATAAATAAATAAATAAATAAATAATAGATTTCCATGAGTGTGGATTTCAACCTTATCCTTCTGGGGTCCTAGAACTTCATCAAACAGGCAACATTGCCCATCCTACAACACTTGGACCTCTTTTGAGGCACGGAGCCTGCCAGATGTCATCACGTGATGTCTATCTACTTCCAGCGGGGCTCTATGTCTGAAGAGAGGTCCAAGTGTTGCAGGAGGCAACACTGGCAACATAGGAGGCTTCCCGTGTTGCATAGACAACAGTGGGGGGAAGCTGGGCAGCAACACTTCCTCAAGTGGGAAGAGATGAGGGGCAATGCAGGTGGTGTGGGTTGCCAGGTTCCCCATGCTGGATTTGCCACGATCTGTGATTAATCCCCCTGCTATTGCCTGGATAGGTGACCTCAATGTGATGAGTTCCCTAGTCCAGCACTGAAATCACTACACCATACCGCTTACAAGTACAGGTAAAACGTCTCCATATTCATTTTTAGAGATATAGACATGTTAGACATAGTAGTCCAAGAAAGCCCCCTCGATGGACTGTCACCTTGTCGTGGTGAGGGGGCTTGCGTGTTCCGATGAACCTGTGGGCACAACAACGGGAGTCCTGCACTCCCAGGAGTGGCCGCAGGGGAGGTCCCAGACCAAGCACAGTCCGAAGACCCAAAGACCTCAACGGCGGAGCAGGCAGAGGATAACATGGTACATGTTACAATGGCTGTGAAGGTGGAAGAAGGCTGCAACAGATTGAGAAGCCATGACCGTCTTGGACTGAGAAGCCACGGTCATTGTGTTAAACTACAGCACCAGTGGAACCTCACTCTGTGAAGTCTGTGTGTTGATCAGTTGTGCACTGACCTCCACACATTAAAAAAACCCACGCACAGGCGTCTTCCAAAGAAAATAAAAACAAACCAACCAAAGTCCCATGGTGATCAGCGAGTGGCGACGGGGGCAGGACTGTGAAATCTGGAAGCCCCTAGTCACAGACTGGCACATGGGCGGTGGGTACGGACTCAGTCGTTCTACCTCAAGGTCCGAGGCAGTTGAGTAGTTCGGCAGCTGTATCCGCGACTGAGCAACCCTTTTTAGGACCCACTCTGCTCTGCCTCTCTTATCCCTGACTGGACTGCCGCGTCCAGTGGGGTCACCACCCTGCAGCCAAAAAAGAAAAATGAACTTCGGTACATGGAACGTACGGACACTGATGGACAACACTGACAGTGAACGCCCCGAACGCAGAACTGCCATCATTGCAAGGGAGCTGGGACGCTTTAACATCGACATAGCAGCCCTTCAGGAGACCCGGAGAGCAGGAGAGGGACAGCTGAAGGAAGAAAAAGGAGGCTACACCTTCTTCTGGAAGGGACTGCCCGAGAAGAAGACCAAAGAATGCACGGAGTTGGCTTCGCCATCAGAAATGATCTGATGAAACATCTGTCCGAAGCACCCACTGGCATCAACGAACGACTCTCAACCCTCCGAATCGATCTTGCCAAAAACCAACGGGCAACCATCATAAGTGCCTATGCACCAACACTAGATGCTGATGAAGACATCAAGGAGAAATTCTACTGTCAGCTGGACACCGTCCTATCGGGGATACCTAAGGAGGACAAAATCATCCTCCTGGGGGACTTCAATGCAAGAGTCGGGCGAGACTTCGACCTGTGGCCAGGAACCATAGGAAAAGACGGGGTTGGAAACAGCAACTCGAATGGCATCCTGCTTCTCACCAAATGTGCGGAGCACAACCTTGTCATCACCAACACGCTCTTCCGCCAGAAAAACAAGTTCAAGACATCATGGAAGCACCCCCGGTCAAAGCATTGGCACCTCTTAGACTATGTAATCACACGCGCCAGAGACCGCCGTGACGTGCTCCTCACAAGAGCCATACAGGTGCTGACGACTGCTGGACTGACCACAGGCTAATTTGATCCTCGATGGCTATCAAGATCGCTCCCAAGCGCAGACTCCAAGGAAGGAAGACAAGGCATAAAATGAACACCCAAGCCCTTCAGGAGCCCTCCAGACGAGCCCATCTCCAAACAGCACTCAAGGACCATCTACCCACAGTACACCCCGAAAATGTTGAGGAACATTGGAACAAACTGAAGACCTCCATCATCACAGCCTGCGAAGAAACTATTGGATACCAAGCCAAGAAACATCAAGATTGGTTTGACGAAAATGACATCGAGATCCAACAGCTAATTGACAAGAAAAGGAAAGCCTTCCAAACATGGCAGAGAGACATCAACTGTGCTGCTAAGAAAAAGATCTATGCCAGTGCAAAAGAAGTCCAAAGAAGGACAAGAGAACTCAAGAACATCTGGTGGACAAAGAAGGCTGAAGAAATCCAACACCTGAGAGATACCCATGATGCTCAGGGATTTTTCAAAGCCACAAAGGTCATCTATGGACCAAGAAACCATGGCATACAGCCTCTACGCTCATCAGATGGAACCAAACTCCTGAAAGACCAAAAATCAATTGCACTACGTTGGAAAGAACACTACCAAAGCCTCCTGAACCGCAGCTCCAATGTGGCCGAAGAGGTCCTCTCACAAATCCCGCAACAACAAACCAGGGATGAGCTTGCAGCACTGCCTAGTCTGGAAGAAGTCAGCAATGCCATCAGCCAACAAAAGAATAACAAAGCCAGCGGACCGGATGGGATCCCTGCTGAAATCTTTAAAGAGGGAGGACCTGAGCTGACACACCAACTCCACCAGCTCATAGAAAAAGTGTGGGTGACCGAGAAAATCCCAGCAGATTTCAAGGATGCCACCATCATCACCCTCTTCAAAAAAGGGGAAAGAACAGACTGCGGAAACTATCGAGGTATCTCCCTTCTAACCTCCGCTGGGAAAATCCTCGCAAGAATCCTTGCAAACCGCCTTCTGCCCCTCTCAGAAGACACCCTCCCAGAATCCCAGAACGGCTTCCGCCCCTCCAGAGGAACTGTGGACATGATCTTCACTGCACGACAGCTCCAAGAAAAATGCAGGGAACAAAATCAACCTCTGTACATGGCATTCATCGACCTTGCAAAGGCATTCGACACAGTGAATCGCAGCGCTCTCTGGACCATCCTCCACAAAATCGGGTGCCCTAACAAATTTGTGAACATCCTGCGGCTCCTCCATGATGACATGATGGCAACAGTCTTGGACAGCAATGGCTCCCAAAATGTGAACATCCTGCGGCTCCTCCATGATGACATGATGGCAACAGTCCTGGACAGCAATGGCTCCCAAAGTGACCCATTTAAGGTGGAATCGGTGTCAAACAGGGATGTGTTATTGCCCCAACTTTATTCTCCATCTTCATCGCTATGATACTTCACCTTGTTGATGGGAAGCTTCCCACCGGAGTGGAAATCATCTATCGGACAGATGGCAAGCTGTTTAACCTCAGCAGACTGAAAGCCAAAACCAAGGTCACAACAACATCTGTTATAGAACTCCAGTATGCTGATGACAATGTCGTCTGTGCGCATTCAGAAGAAGATCTACAAGCCACTCTAAACACCTTTGCAGAAGCATACGAGAAGCTCGGCCTGTCATTGAACATTGAAAAAACCAAGGTGCTGTTCCAGCAGTCACCAGCCAGCCCCTCTCCAATGCCAGAGATACAGCTTAATGGTGTAACATTAGAAAATGTTGACCATTTCCGCTATCTTGAGGTACAGCTTAATGGTGTCACATTAGAAAATGTTGACCATTTCCGCTACCTTGGCAGCCACCTCTCCACCAAAGTCAACATCGACGCCGAAATTCAGCACCGCCTGAGCTCTGCAAGTGCAGCATTTTCCCGAATGAAGCAGAGAGTGTTTGAGGACCGGGACATCCGTAGGGATACCAAGGTGCTTGTTTATAAAGCTATTGTCCTCCCAACCCTGCTATATGCCTGTGAGACGTGGACTGTCTACAGACGTCACATGCAACTCCTGGAACGATTCCATCAGCGCTGCCTCCAAAAAATCCTGCAAATCTCCTGGGAAGACAAGCGGACAAACGTCAGTGTGCTGGAAGAAGCAAAGACCACCAGCATTGAAGCGATGGTCCTCCAACATCAACTCCGCTGAACCGGCCACGTTGTCCGGATGCCCGACCACCCCGTCTCCCAAAGCAGTTGCTCTACTCCGAACTCAAGAAAGGAAAATGGAATGTTGGTGGACAGGAAAAGAGATTTAAAGATGGGCTCAAAGCCAACCTTAAAAACTCTGGCATAGACACTGAGAACTGGGAAGCCCTGGCCCTTGAGCGCTCCAGCTGGAGGTCAGCTGTGACCAGCAGTGCTGCAGAATTCGAGGAGGCACGAGTGGAGGGTGAAAGAGAGAAACGTGCCAGGAGGAAGGCACGTCAAGCCAACCCCGAACCGGGACCGCCTTCCACCTGGAAACCAATGCCCTCACTGCGGAAGAAGATGCAGAGCAAGAATAGGGTTCCACAGCCACCTACGGACCCACAAGGAAACCCATGATGGAAGACCATCTTACTTGTCCAACGAGGGATTGCCTAAGTAAAAAAAGTAAGTAAGTAAGTAAGTCCAAGAAAGTATTTTAAAAATAGTTCTCCATACTCAAAGTTATCTTTGATTTAATGTTGAGTTAGTTGGGGCTGATGATGAAATCATATTGTCTACATGATGTCTTAAGATCAAATGAGGGGAAAGAGACCCACAGACATTGAAGTAAGGCTCTGTCACTGAGTTAGGGATCATTTAGTTCTCTAGGTGATGTTGGACTGCCATTGCAGTCATCCCTCAACTTTGTCTATGGCAGTTAGGTCTGCTGAAACTTGTGGTCCAGGAAATTTGGAAGTTCATAGGATTCCCACTCATTCCTCTAGTAGATGATGAAATGGCTACATCTTCCATTTTGAAGAATACTGGGAGTAAGTTTTTTTAATCCTCCTTTTTTCCGTCCTGAGTAAAGATCACCGGTTCCATTAATGATGAAAAAAAGAGGAAGGCACATTTTCTTAAAAACAATTATTATCTAAATTATTTGTTCATAATTTTAGCTGCTGGATTCATTATAAAATAATATATCTGTGGCAAATGCAAAACAAAGGAATGCTTCTTTTGCAACTATTACCCAGCAATAGCATCTGATCCTATTTTTCAGAACGAGAAAAGCGGAGAAAGCCAGCTCCTTTCAAAGACTGCAAACAATGCGCAATGCTACAAAACTCTGCGGTCTGGATGGGGATAACACAATTTCTTATGAAATACTCATTGAAGAAATATCTTGAATTGATAAATGAGGGCATTCGGAGGGAGACTTTGAAGGAATGTTAGTTTGTTTCTCTGATTTGTACTTCTCCCACCAGATCCTTGTGTCTTTGTCATTAATTCTTTTGGAATGTTAAACATGTTCTTAATTCATTTGCAGTAGGACACAGTGCACCAGGCTCTTTCAGCAAAAGAAGCAGGCACACAGTTACTGGTAGCTATATTGGTTACACAGACAGTGGAAACATCACATTCACTCATAGTCCATACATTCATACTCACCATCCCTCCTCTGTTCATACCTGAAGAAAGGCGAGTGAACAAATACTGCATCCCTGCAGATCTGACACACAGACCATAAGGAAGAGGGTCTCTTATGTAGAGCTTTTGGTTACTCATTATTTGTTTGTTTAGATAACTTCTGTCAATCATCTCAGGCCTGGTAGAGCCTCATCAATTCAAAAACAACTGTTTAACTTCCTTATCTTAAAAAGTCATTGTCTTTGACTATGTAAACATGGGCTGTTTGCACCCAAAGTTCTCAGTTCAATTCAGTAGTTTTTCTCATCAGCACCTTTCTTGCCAGTGTTTATAAACTCTGTAATTCTTCATCTCCTTTGCTCTCCCATAATGCAATTTTCAGATTCCTTTTACAGGATGGTAACTTCAGTCTTGCCACGCTTCGTATCCTCAGCCAGACCCCAGACATACTGTGCAATTAATTCAATCGATTAATTACAGCTTGCCCATAATAATTAACGTATTGCTTTTTTCTTAGTGGCCACAATTCTTCTTATTTAAGATAAGTATGATAGTTGATCTATTGCCATGCAACCATTGGTTTATGGTGGTTTAAATGTCTTTTGGAAACTACAGAACTAATCATTAAACTTATTTCTTGTAAGATATATGCATACATTTATTTTTCATAAGATGAATTGTGGTGGGTGAGGCTGTATTGACTACATACCAGATATATATCCCCAACTATATACCAGGTATTTTTGAAAATAATTCTCTTCCCATTATCCCTTTCCAACCCCTGTCCTTTTAGGCTGAGAAGCAGGGACTGGACACCAACTTCAGCCTTGACTCAATTGATGGCATACCTGTAGCTGAGACTGAATGCTGGGCTGAGATTTCAGATGCTGAGAGGCTGCGAGATAACCTGAAAGCCTATTGGGCATTTGAGATGTTGCTAGAGGAAATCCTGGAAGAGCAGAGAACCAACTTGACACCTGCTGATGTTGCTTTCCATGAATCTATCCAGTCAGTCATGCTACAAGTTTCTGCATTGGCTTACCAATTGGAGGAACTCATGGTCATCTTGAATCACAGTGTGCCAGCTAGAGAACTGGAAGACAGAAGAAGCCCTGGTGAAAATGGCTCATTTGAGAAGAAAATCAGAGGCCTGAAGGTGCTGCAGCAACTTGCTCAGTGGACTGTTAGGTCTATCAAGGACCTCCACCAAGTCTCCAAGTCCCTTCAGCCAGGCACTGTCGTGTGTGCTGCTTCATGCATGGCTCAAGCCCAAGAAAAATGAGGCTGCTCTTCTCTGTGGGACGCTTACAGACCAAATTCTTCATCCACAACAACGATCTATTAGACTGAAACAATGTGGTCACAGCAAGTCCTCTAAGAGAAGTGGAGTAGTGCTTTTCCAGTGTCAGCATTATTTTCTGTTAAGCAATATTTAAATTTAACCTGTTTGAAAATACTATGTCATCTTGGACACATCTTGGAATCAGGTTTGCTTGAATGTAAATTCTGCCACCACCCAGTCCATCCAGCAAGGCTGCAATAACCACATGTGGTTGTTATTCATTCACATTTTCCCACAAAGAATGGGTCACATTACAACCTTATGACAGCCCTGTCTGAATTTCAGCCACAAGAGATTGGAAGGCGTGTTTAATAAGCAACCAATTTCTGGCTGACCCGTCTTTCTCCAAACATCCTTCTTGCTGAACCATAGTGGTTTGTTTGTAATTTCATCAACACATCATGCTAAGTTTTAATATTGCACGCTCATAGTAGCAGTTAGTGGGAGAAACGTTTGACTTGAAATGAATTCACTTATTGATTGCTCATTTGAGATGTTTCCATAAACCTGCAAGGGCCAAAAAGTGAGTAAAGCAGGAGTGGGACTTCTGACTTCACTCAGATATTGTCGTATTGCAACTCCCAACATTCCTCACAAATGTGTACTGGTTAGACTTATGGAACTTGCCATTCAGCAAACTTTGGAGGGCATATCATTCCCGTTATTGAAGTAAGGGTGGTGGTGAGACTAGTGTCTCATTTCCATGGATCTCTGCAGTCTTCAGTAGTGTGAGTTAGACTCAGTTGTATATGAGAGCTCATAGATTCTGCTTGAATGTTAAAATCCAGCACTTGTCAGAGACATTCCAGAATAAATCTCATGGCTTGGAGGTTTGGTTGAGCTCCACCACTTGGAGTAAATAATGATAATATCATGGTATCCAAGAAATGGAAAGTATTTGGTCTTTCATTTCCTCAATTTTGCCACTGCTGGTTTCAAGTTACTTAAATCTACATTCCAGGAATGCTTTGTTCTGAAGCTGAACTTGATGACAGGGTAAGTAACCCTGCAAGCTTAAAGGTGCACCAGGCAAAGGAATGGAAGTCCATCCATGCATAGAGAGTTCATGCTGGCGAAGATGCAGAAGAGGGCCTTGTCGGTGGCTGCTGCCAAGTTGTGGAATTCACTTTCATGGGAGGCTAGTCTGGCCCTGTCTCTGCTCTCCAAGTGAAGACCTTTTAATTTAAACAGTAAAGTCATTTTTAAGGGATGGAGCCCTCAGTGGCGCAATGGGTTAAATCCTTGTGCTGGTTCGAATCTGGGGACAGTGCGCATGAGCTCCATCTGTCAGCTCCAGCTCCCCATGCGGGACATGAGAGAAGCCTCCCACAGGGGTGGTAAAACAGCAAACATCCAGGCACCCCCTTGGCAACGTCCTTGCAGACAGCCAACTCTCTCACAGCAGAAGTGATTTGTAGTTTCTCAAGTCACTCCTGACTTACACAAACAAAATTCTCTTTAGGGGAAGGGGCTTGTGCCTCCCCATTTCCTTTAATACATTAAAATGGTTTTAAAGCTGCTCTAACTGTTTGATTTTAACCTGATAGTTTATTTAATTTTTATTCATTCTTCTTCAGTGTCATCGCTGAGTGGTTTCAATCTGTATTTTGTTTTAATTAATGTTGTAAACTGCTTTATAACATGAATGAATAAATGAAAAAATAAGGATTGCTAAATATTCACAGGTTCATAACCTCAATCCTCCTCATTCCCATTAGATTATATCATTCTTTTCAAAATAATTTTGCAGTGTTTATAGCAGGAAAAGGCAACTTCTGGGCATTGGTACAGGATAGTGGGAGTTATAGTCAGACACCGCTGAGGAGCCCATTGTTCCTCCTCTTCTTTGCATCTATTGCATGTCTTGCGCTGCTTGGGTCAGAAGCTTGGAAGTGATGGGAATCATGTAATGTAGCTTCCTGTTACCTTTTTTCTTTTTTTTAAAAAGAGAGGATAAAATAGAATAATGTTTCAAAAGAAACACAGTAAATAGGAATGTTACCTTACTAGTTGAAGGAGTAATGTTTTCTAATTACTTTTGAAGTTGAATTTAAAATAGGACTTTAAACAACTATTTGACAGGAATTTTTCAAGCTGCATGCCATTCTCTTATCTTCGGAAGAGGGCCTTGTCAGTGGCTGCTGCCAAGTTGTGGAATTCACTTTCATGGGAGGCTAGTCTAGCATCAATTTTGCTATGAAGCCCCCAGTGGTGCAATAGGTTAAACCCTTGTGCCGGAAGGCTGGACTCAAGACTGACAGGCCGGAGGTTCAAATCCGGGGGGAGTGTGGATGAGCTCCCTCTGTCAGCTCCAGCTCACCATGTGGGGACATGAGTGAAGCCTCCTACAAGGATGCTAAAACAACAAAACATCCGGGTATCCCCTGGACAACATTCAAGCAGACAGGCAATTCTCTCACACCAGAAGCAACTTGCAGTTTCTCAAGTTGCTCTTGACACACACACACACAAATCAATTTTCCTTTTTTAAAAAGTCATAAAAGATACAATAACATAGAGTAACAAACAACACAAAATGAAAAATACTACAAACTACTTCAAACAGTGTAACAAGTACTTGCAACAAATTACTTTTCAAATGCCACAATGAGATACAGGAATAAACTACTTTGAACAAATAATGTTTCAAAGTCTGGACGGATTTGTAGGCTTGACAGCCTCTGTACTGAAGCTGCATTGTTGTCATTGTTCCCAGGAGAAAGCATTATTTCATAAATTTATTTTTTGCTGGAAGAGCATCTAGTAATTTTCAGTAAGCGCTGTGCTTGCTGAAAAATAAATTGGATTTAAAATTATGCAAAATGTGAAAATTGTGTGGAAAAAAAGATTATTCATATTCTTTGGAGTCTAACTTGCATTACAAACAGAGTAGTAGTTTTTCTTTTTTTACTTTGAAAACCTGGCTAGTTATTTTAAAGCCACAACCTAGCTAGGAAATAAGTCCCAATAATTATAATTACAGTACTATTTTTTTAAAAACTTCTGAGTAAATTTGCATAGGCTTACTGCATGACAATTATTAACTCAAAATACACTGCAATCCTGTGTACAATTGCTTGGGAGTAAATCAATTAGATCTCAATAGGAATGTTTCCTAGGCAAACATGGATAGGGTCGTGGAGTGAGTCACTTATAACAAGCTGCTGTCTATTGAAAAAAAGGTGTTTCTCTGAAACAGGAGCACATTTTAATCCAAAACATCAATGTTAGGTTATATCAAGACTGCTAGTCAAACTAAAACATAAAAGAAACAGGGATTGCTGTTCATAAAATCTGCACTGGTTCTTGTTTTAGGACCACTTTGTATAAATTAATTAATTCATAGAATCGCCCCTCTGGGTTCGAGTTCAGCAACTAGGAATCAAAAATCAGCTGGGATTTGGAAATGCTTCTACGCCATTCTCTCGAAGCTGGGAGAACAAAACAAAACTTTGTAGTCCCAGGTCAAAATGAGTCAGAGCTTGTGGCATTTTAGTTGTCAGGGACAGTTTTTGCTGGATGACTTTGGCAAATTGAGAAGAACAAAGGCTTCACTCAGAGCAGTTTCAGATGGGACTTATGCTATGGCACTCTCTCCTTCCCAGAATTGTCCAGGGCTTCTTCGGCTAGCACTATCCTCCACACATTGCCTGCTCATATTTTCCTCTCCTGTTTCTGCAGTCATTTTTTTTAGTACTGTTCCATTATCTGGACAGAGGCCCAAAGAGGATGCTAGACAAGGATAATCCATTTTAGGGGGGAGTTGAAAGAGGAAAACCATTTCCCCTGTTTTTGCTAGGTATGCCCCCTCCCCACTTCATAAACAAGGACTGTTTCCACAATGGTGACGTGGGGCGGGAGGATAACAGGAAAACAGAGGAAATGGTTTTACTCCTTCAACCCTCCCCCCTGTAAAATGGACTATCCTTCTCTGTCTATTGCCCGCTTTTAGCCTCCACCCAGATAACAGTTTTTTCTTTGCTTAATATCTGTTCAGTATGAAAATAAAAAGAATAATTGGATAGGGCCTTCTCATTGCTAGTTAGAAGAGCCCTCTGTCTGGAAATACCCTCAGCATGCATGAGAGAATGAGGAAAGGGGCAAAAGATTTTTCAGCACACCTCTCTCTCTAACTGGATAGACATTTATGTCTGTGGGGATGGATTAGGGTATGTAGTATAATCTGGAAGGACCTGGCCAATAAGAACCCTGTACTCTAATAGCCAATGTGTTTTGCTCTCAGGTTACATGCAAACATTATTTTTTTTAAAAAAAAACCATGTACATTTTTGCCAGCCAGGAGTCAAAAATAATTCAAATCCTATTCAATTGATAGGTTTTTTTCTTAATTGGGAGTATTTTTGGTGGTAGAAAGAGACAGATAGGGAAACTGGTAATAGAAAGAGAGTGGGGGAGGGGAAAGACCAACAGAAAAGGCACATGAGAAAGGGGGCTATGAGACAGGATTTTTATTGAACTCGTTGGGCTAAATCTCAACTTTGCCCTTAGTCTAGGCCTGTATTAACTAACTTCAAACTCATTGATTTCAATAGACTTATTGTAATAAATATTGTTATGACTGCATCTGGATCTGCCATAGTGGGGTTTGCTTCTGAATAAAATATTTGGCCAAAAATACAATTGCTAGTCCTAACAAGAGTAGACTTCTGATTTGAAAAAAAAAAAAACGGGAAAGATTCACTTCAAATACGTCCATCTGCCAACCAGTGAATTTAAATCCATTGGCTGGTGATTTTCTGCTTCTTCCTGAAACCCATGCAATTTGCATAGACTTTTGGGAAGAAGACAATTTTCCACTACCAGAATGCTCCACAATGTCTCCAAGCTGCAAATTCATCACACAATAAGTCCTGGAGAACCCTTAGCTTGGCTCCATTAGTTGTTTAATCTGAAGGAAAGGTCAGAAGATATATTGCCCATTTCCCTTGTAGTCCAGAGGGCTATTATCAGTGTGGCCTTATGTGGAGGGGTTGAATTTAGAAGAGATTTTGGAGGGGGAATAAGGAACTGCCTTGCTACTTCTTGCCATTCCCGCAAGGGATGTCCCAGGGAGCAAAATTCTGCTCTGTGTAAATCTGCATCTAAGCTGTTGAAAATATCAATAAAAGTAACAAGAATTATTTCCCTTTCTTTTACAAGGGCCACAATCTTTCCCAAACTGTTTTAAACTTGAAACTTATTTATCCTAATTTTAAAAATGTGAATGATTTCTTCTAGCACATTGGTTCTCATCCTGTAGGTCCCCAGATGCTTTGGCCTCCAATTCCCAGAAATCCCAGCCAGTTTACCAGCTGTTAGGATTTCTGGGAGCTGAAGGCCAAAGCATCTGGGGTTGAGAACCACTGCACATATTGTGTCACCTTCAGAAGTATATAAAATCTAACAATGATGAGTGTTTTCTAATTTTTATCTACTATTAGAATGACACAGTTACTAAACCTCTGTAGTTCTCTAGACAGGAGATGTTGTGAAGAACACATGAATATAATCTCACTGCAAGAAAGCATATTGCCTTGGAGAGAACGTTCTAACATGTGATGAGTAATTGACTGAAACATGCTTTGATTGATTTTAAATAAAGGATCCCATGAGTCAATAGGAAGCATAGAACAGGGTGGGCAACTTCATGAAGCCCCAAATGCTTCCATTTTCTTTTCTAATCTTCTTTTTCAAGCTGAGGGTCTGATTTTTGCAGATTTGATTATTCACAGATTTTATTAAAATGTTCTCTCTAGGAATCTCTGGGTTCTCCGGTGCAATTTTATGCTCAGCTTGAAGCAAAAGGTGACCATGGATCTCTTCACATGGCCCCTATGGCCGTGCTGTTTTGCCGGCAGTTGCTGCCAAAAGGGAAAGCATATGTGGCAGATCATGGCCATCCATCCTTCCCCCATCATATGGTTGAGATGGGACAAGGTGTGTTGATGCACTATCCCCATCATATGAGAGAAAGGGCAGCAATGTGCATTGCCCTGCCACCCTTTCCCCCATCATATGGGGAAATGGAGAGGAAAGTGTGGGTTCCCCTCCACTTCAGGAGGAATGTGGGCGGGGTAAAGTCAGTAATGTCTGATGATACTTAGCAGGTCCCATCAACAAATAGAAAAATGGGGCAAAAAAAAAAAAAGCCCCATGTGAAGAGCTCCCAAAAAGGACTTGTAACATTTAATACAAGTCATTATGGAAACTGTGGACAGTGAGTACATTTTTAGAAGATAAATATTTCATGTTGTGACACACATTTCAGACATGCATCATCTCCAACATACCACCTCACACACCCAGCACTTTTAGCCTGTACCCATCATTGGCCCGGCCCTGATTTTATTGTGTAATAGTGTAATGTTTTGTTGTGTTATTGCTTATGTTTTTAATTTGCTTGCATTGTTATTGTTTGTTGTTGTTATGTTGAGGCCTTGGCCTTTGTAAGCCGCATCGAGTCCTTCGGGAGATGCTAGCGGGGTACAAATAAAGTTTAATAATAATAATAATAATAATAATAATTTTGCAACACAGTAATTCAGTTTTATTAGCAAACTGGAGTTTAATCCAAAGAAACAGATACATAAACAAATTGGAATAATGAAATGTTTGGGGACCCAACAAACCTCATGAAAAAAATCTGTCATTTGTATTTTACAAAATATATGCTTTGCTACTTATTTTACATAGACTCAGAAGTTTCCCATTACATTTGCATGACACACCTAAACAATGCAACTGACATGCTAATGTGTCGCAACACATCGTGTGGAAAGCTCTGCACTGGAGAGAATGCTTCTTCTACAGTTGTTCAGAATCTAAAAAATGAAGTGTGGTTGTGTTGGTAACTCACATGCAGATTTACTCTGCAAACTCAACAAAGCTTTCTTTAATTTATTGACCAGGTTTGCACATGTGTATTCAGAG